TTTGACTTCCCGTCTACGGCAGGTAAAGCACACGCAACACGTGAGAGCCCTGGCAAAGCAAAACAGAACACGAATCATGCCACGGCTAAAGCGAAAAATCTGATGCTGCAAACTCGGCACTGCGATACGCTTATTGGGGATTGAGTTTTGTGCATGCTTCAAGGTTCTTTTTTTCCGCTCCGGCAGCTCCTAGGCCAGTGGAAGCCAGTGGCTGCGCTCTTCCAAAAACGCGCATCTCGGTCGCCCCATCCCAGCGCTGATTCGCCCCAGACAGTGGCCCGGCGGAGGCGCTAGGCGATTGCCCTGGCCACTACGAGTGCAAGTATCTGCAAGCCTCGGTGCATCAGGCCCTACGGCGCGAGAGGTTGAGAGGCAAAGCCATGCCCCTTGGCAAGCCACCGAGCGATTGTCTGTATCTCCGGCCAATTTCCAACCCAAACAGCTGCTAGCAAAGGCCATGTGCCGACCCGCAAATGCTCCTAATCGGCACACCACATGCCGGTGGCTTGGAGGCAGTTCTTGGCGGCTTTCCATGGCGGCTTCCCATGGCCCTCATGCTCGTTTCGGGCCTTTAGGGCGTCGACTGGATCTGAGGGAAACTCAGAGCGCGAGAGCGAGACAAGAAAAAAAAAGAGCCCCAGAGCAAGGGGCCCCCTGGCCACCCGGAGGCTGCTTGTGGCCTAGCTCAACCAGGTCTTGCCGTCGATGGGTCTGAGGGCGAGGGACCGCATCTCAATGCACGAATCGCAGCTCCGTCTGCCTCTTGCTATGACGACTGATGCCCTCGGATCGTGCCAAAGACAGCGAACTCGCCGCGTGGGATACAGGCTGCTGGAACTCCATGGACTGGCCCGTGGGGAAGAAGCAAGAAGCGAGACGACCGCGGTGTGGCTAGGGCCAAAAGTTCTGGGGGCAGCTCTCTCGTCCCCGTCCGAGACAGCGAGACTGGACTGGGTGGCGGACAACGTTGTATCTGGAGACTGGAGACTGGAGACTGGACTGTCTGGCGTACCCCGAATCCTTTAAATCGTGGCATCCCACCATCTGCGCGGTTTACCTGTCTTTCCCTTCTCTTGTTCTTCCCTTGCTCACTTCCTGGCTGGTCTTGTCGTTTCTTGAAGGGACCTGCCTTGGGTTTGTAACAGTAGAGGTGTAGACAGTATTCAGATTGCAATCATGGCCAACAATCACGAGGATACCGTTGCTGAGTACGTTTCAACAGAGGAATTGGAGATGGCTTCTCCTTCTCCGTCTTCTCTCTGTTTAGCCATATGCTTACATATCTTGTCCTATTAGGCTCCACGAGGAGTTCAACGAGCGTGTTCCCCATGGTGAGACTCGCGATCTTACCGGAGGCTTCATTGCCTCTGACCCTGATGAGAAGAAGGACTTCAGCTCCTCACCAGAGAGTGCTGAGGAGGGTAACACCCCTGATGGTGAGGAGCCCAACGAGTTCGAGAAGCGGACACTGCGCCGTATTGGCGAGAACCTGCCTGCTTCTGCCTTCCTCATCGCCGTTGTCGAGCTTATGGAGCGCTTCACCTACTATGGTGCCTCGGGTCTTTTCCAGAACTACATCAGCAACGGCAAGAATGACACCACCGACTCTCCTGGACTGGGTATGGGTGGCCAAGCCGCTACTGGTCTGAACTTGTTCTTCCAATGGTTCTGCTATGGTATGTCATTATGAACCTCGTCAGCTATATCGAGGAGCAGCGTTTGCTAACTCGTGACTCTCTTGTACAGTCACCCCCATTCTCGGTGCCATCATTTCCGATCAGTACCTGGGCAAGTACAAGGCCATCATGCTCTTCTGTGGCGTCTACTGGGTTGGTCTCGTCATCCTTTGGACGACATCTCTGCCCGTGGCTCATGCACACGGAGCCGGTCTGCCTGGCTACATTGTTGCCATTATCATTATTGGTTTTGGTACCGGTGGTATCAAGTCCAACATCGCCCCCCTGATTGCCGACCAGTACCAGCGCCGAACCATGGCTATCCGAACAGAGAAGAGCGGCGAGCGAATCATCATTGACCCTGCCATCACCTACCAGCGCATCTACATGATCTTCTACTGGTGTATCAACCTGGGTTCTCTGTCCCTCATCGCCACCCCCTTCATGGAGAAGTACTGCGGCTTCTGGACTGCCTTCCTCATGTGCTTCCTCATGTTCAACGTGGGCATTTTCATCCTCGTCATCCGCCGCAAGTCGTACATTATCCACCCCCCGCAGGGCTCCATCATCACCGATGCCTTCAAGGCCCTTGGCATGATGATTGCCGGCCGCAACATGGATGCCGCCAAGCCTACATGGCGCGCTGCCCACGGCAAGACTAAGCCCGTTGTTTGGAACGACCACTTCGTCGAGGAGCTCAAGCGTGCTATCCGTGCCTGCAAGGTCTTTGTCTTTTACCCCATCTTCTGGGTTGGCTATGGTCAATTCTCCACCAACTTCGTTACCCAGGCCGGCCAGATGAACGGTCACGGCATGCCCAACGATTTCATGCAGAACTTTGATTCCATTTCCATTCTCATCTTCACTCCCATGCTGGAAATGCTCGTGTACCCCGCCCTCCGCAAGGCTGGTATCAAGATCCGACCCATTGCCCGAATTACCCTGGGCTTCGTCTGGATCTCTCTCTGCCTGGGCTATGCAGCCATTGTCCAGCACCTTATTTACAGCTCCGGCCCTTGCTACAAGAGCCCTCTCGAGTGTGACGCTGCCAACGTTGATGGCAAGGTTCTCCCCAACAACGTCCACATTGCCGTTCAGGCACCTGCCTACGTGTTCGTCGGTCTGGCCGAAATTTTCATTTCCGTCACCGGTCTCGAGTACGCCTACACCAAGGCTCCCCCCAGCATGAAGTCGTTTGTCCAGAGCTTGTACCTCTTCACCAACGCTTTTGGCTCTGCCATCTCAGAGGCCCTGGTCTCCGTGTCCAAGGACCCCGAGTTCATCTGGATGTACACTGGTGTTTCCGGAGCCAGTATCGTCACTGCCTTTGTCTTCTTCTTCCTCTTCCACCACTACGACAAGATTGAAGACGCGTCATTCGAGCTTGACCGCGAGGCACCCGTCATTCCTCCAACCAAGGAGGTTGAAGCCGAGGAAGCTAACTAATACCGGAGAGGAGAGTTTGTACAATAGTGTAATGGAGTAGATGTAGATATCACGTTTAATGTATTATAATGACTTTTTACAAAGAAAATATTCAAAATCCAGAAACCTCCAAGCATTGCATTCCATACCCACTGATAAGAGCTTGTATGAATGACCTGACTCTTGCTCGAGTGGAAACTCCAGTCCTTAGCTGAAGTGTTTCTCCTAGCTCGGCGCCATTCTGCTAGCCTTTCTCGAATGCTTCCATGCATAATTTTTTTCTTCTTGTTAACGTTGTTGTATAAAATAGCGCCGCGCCATTCCACGGCTGGGGGTCCACTAAATTCATCCGACGGCTTTTCTCGATCGTGTCTTGAGACGAGTTAAGGGGAAGAAAAGCCGTGTCAACTAGACTACGGAGTACGGAGTAACACATGCGAGTAGTAGTAATACTACGAGAACATGAACTGGAGAGACACAGCAGGCCAGAAGCACGCTAACGCTGAAATCCATTTTTATTTCCGAAGCACCAAACTAGAACCGCCAAGAAAAAATGTCCGAAAATCCGCGCCAGAGAAGAAAAATAAAAAATAAAAAATTGTGCGTCAGCCAAGGTGGAAAATTGCCGGCGAGCTGCCGAAACCATAGGCGCGGCAACGCCCGGTCCGCGATTTTGGGCGTAGTGATATTTGTGGAAACATGGTGGATTTTTTTTTTCTCTTACTTTTTCTTCTTTAGGGACCCCATCGGATTATTCAAGATGGGGGTCATTCTTGCGGGAAGGTGCAAAATCGCCCCTTTCGTCTCATTTTTTTTTTGCCTCCCTTCGTAAGAGTGTACGTACCTAGTATTATTATTCCAAGATGTTACTTGAAAGTGGACAAAATTAATCCAATGTCCGCAATGTGATAACTAAACAGCCACATATACTCGTACTTGTTCACCGCGAATCTCCACCGGCCGGGGATAAGCACAAGTAAGCGCGAGAATTCCAAGACCCAAAAGAAAACCCATACCAAAAAAAGAGAGAGTAAAAAAAAATCTGCTCCATCGTCGCGACATGTCCTCTGTTAGGCAAAAGGGGGGACCACAACTCCAAAGTTGGGGGGAAAAGGCAAAAAGAATGACACCTGAGGGATTCGAACCCTCGCCTATTACTAGACCGCGAATTCTGGATTGCTCCTGAACACGGCGCCTTAGACCACTCGGCCAAAGTGCCTTTTCTTGCTGATTGTTGGTGTTGAGGGTGTAAATAGATGCTAAGAAGATGCAGGGTAGGGCAATGAGGTTGTAGATGAGTTTAGTACTGTGCTCTCCAGGTACCTTGGTAGATTTAGGGTTCAGTGTGGCAACATGAGAAAGACGAGTTACCGGTTATTCTTGAACAAAAAGAAAAAAAAAAAAAAAGAAGAAGAAGAAGAAGAAGAAGAAGAAGAAGGAAAGAAGGAGAGAATTTGCTGAATTGTCAATCACTCGGCCAAAATGCCTTTTATGTTGCTTGTTGGTGTTGAGGATGTAATTGGATGCTAAGAAGAGTGAGGGAGGCAACGACGTCAGTTGTGGACGAGTTTGGTATCGTACTCTAGACTTAGGGTTTGGCAGAGAGATATGGAAAACACGAGTCACCAGCTATTCTTGACGAAAAGGGGGAGAGTTTGTGATCAATGTCAGTGCTGGGTTGTCAGTCACCTGGTCAGAGTGCCCTTGTTGATGGGAGTCGTGGTGCTAGGCTATTACATACAGAATTTGCAAGTTGCCGCAAGTCAAAGAATAAGTAGCAATAGGGCAACAAGTATCCTAGCAGTAAAACTGCATACCTATGGTAGAGATGTCTAGTCATTCTGTTATAATATCCCTCCATCATCCAACGCCGTGTCATATCTCATGTTCCATCTTCATTTATACAGCCAACGGGTGGTTCCACCCCGGGTCTGCATCATCAGTATATAGCTCACTATGTTCACGCATTATAACACATATGAGATTGCCGCGCATTTCGTGGCACGTCCAAACACCTTCTCCGTGCTTGTGCTCCGTTTGGCCATCAACTCTGACTTCCATCATCCAACAGTGATCGCCTGGCTGCCGTCCAATGCAAAAGCCGACGGGATTTGCATAGGCGCGCTCCGTGTCAATCCCAACTCGGCACTCTCCAAGAGATCTTTGCGCACCATTCTCGTACTCGAGCAAAAGGCCCTGGGAGATGATAGAGTCCACTTCCGCAAAGAGCCGTATCCCCACAACATGCTCCAGCGGCGCCATACTCATGAAGGCGGACTGTGCAGCGTCCTGGATGTTCCGGATGGGATGCGCGAAAGGGGGGTTTACCGTGCCGTTCCCCCGCTTAGGGTATGCGTCCAGTGTCACGGTTTTGCCTGACAATGTTTGACCGCAAATAAACTGCAGTTGGTCATCTGCCGGCCACACCGTATCGTCGCAATCAGGAAATTGGGGAGACTCGAAGCCAACAACGTAATCGCCAGCTTTCTCGAAGCGAAGCTGTATAGAGTTAGGACAGACAATCTTGAAGATGCTGAGACAAGAAAGAAACCCGTACCAAGACCTGAAAATATGCCGGAAATCGTACATTTCTAACCCCGAAAAAGGTCAATCGATCGCTAGATGGAAATGGCACATAGTACATAATCCCTGACCTGTTTGTGTGGTAGAGGTATTCAAACGTTGATATGGCAGAAGGTGCTTTGGGTGTGTGTGCATGTATCCAAAAATTGGGTCTATTTGCCTGTGCCAACAAGAAACGAATCTTATAGTTCAAAAAGAAGGTAATTCCAGTAATCTTTGACACATCAATGGTTGAGAATCGCACAACCTTACTACTATTAGCCGACCTGCCCCTCACTGCTAGCAGATCCTCTTGAGCTGGAGGGGTGGGGGTATCCCAGGGAAGGAGACATGTTGCTTCACCATCTCCAAGGTAGTTCAAGCGCGCCAATCCCGACTATCATTGGGTTGTTAGTATGACGGGTGCCAGGCACGAATCGATTGAGACGCGTTGGTTTGTTACCTGAAACTGCACCTGAACGTTCGCCAGAGCTTCTTGGCTCTCCATAATGTATAATTCAGTGTCTGATTGTCGGAAATCCCATTCGGGTCTTTGCGCAAATCTCTCGATGCGCTTGACTCCCTGGCAGTCAATGGTGATCCGAATGATAGGCGGGAGGTCTTCTATCTCGCCCGACGGGCCTTGGCCTCGCTCCCACGAAGCAGCCTTGCTAATGGACATCGAGGCTTGTTCATCATAAGGTCGACGGCTCGAATCAGCGGCCAGCGACATGGTAGAATGATAGCGAATAAGGACGGACGGCTGTGTCAACAGCTCCTGGCCCACCATGCGCTTGAGCTCCGTCGGCATCGATACCAACTGCGGTAGATGGCATGCTGTCGCAGCCAACTGTGCCAAACTAGCAGCATCAGTATTGGTGTTTAATCCGAACTTGGGCGCCCACTTCCAGGGACTCCTCCATATGGCCGCAAGCAACAGCCGGCGCAACGCATCGGCATCTGGGCAGTTGCGTCGAAATATCCTGTAGCACTCGGAATGTAGCGTGGCACTCTCTTGGTTAGGCTCGTCATCCAGGCCAAAGGGATCCCAGTTGGAGAGACGACGCATGTTGCCCCTCGTGCTTGGCATCATATCATCGGTCGGGTAATCCGACGGACCCCTGACTGTGATACGGCCTGGGGCCACTTCGGAGACTGGATTCTGCCTGTTAGCAACAAACTCCATCAGCAGACATGGCCGAGAGGGCGGCTAATGCTAATTATTACCAAAGACACACATCTCTCCACCGCTAAGGTCCTCCCCACAAGCTCTGCACCATCCCTCAAGGCAACAGATGCGTACTTCCTTATTGGGGTCGGGAGGTTGAGGAGATTTGGCCTGAGCACGCAGGGCCGCGTATATGCGTACAACTTCGTCGAAATCGAAATCCATCACTGCCGGGCCGTAGTGGAGACGCGAGATCCGCAAGGGTTCGTTTGACAACGATGATGATGACGATGACGACGATGCCGATGCCGATGCCGATGCTGATGCTGATGCTGATGCTGATGCTTGGACCAGCGTTGATGCTCGTGTTGATTCAAGTATTCGTAGTAGTATTAAGTGCGGCCCGATCCGAGAAAGAGGGGACCGGTGCCTGTCGACGCGCTGCGCTAGGCGGTTCTAGAGGAAGATGTTGCTGGATGCGACGTAGTACGCTCCACTGAATAAGGGGCAGCCCACTGTAGTTTTGCTGTATCGGGCAAAAACAGCTGATTGAAGCCCACTCGAGATCTGGATCTGATCTCGGGCAGGGAACCAAAATCTCATCTCACGGGGGAAAAGGTCCATTAGAAATAGTTTTGCATTCTTACTATATATACCAATGTATGCCTATACGAGTACATGCCTGGATGTACATGCATATATACTCCGTATTACCCTATAGCTTAGATACACGTGGCTCGCTTGGAGGCGTGGCAACGGCTGGCTAATCACGTCTCTTTTCCAAACGCCGCAAATGCAGGCGCCGTGGTTCCGTCACACGAATAGCGCACCACGTACGGGCTGAATGTCTCCTGGTTGCTGACAATGACTTGACCGCTCGGCGTCGTGATGTTGAAGTTGAAGCCTCCGCCGTACTGCGCCTGGCCATAGAAGAAGCGGATCGGAACATACGAATTGGCCGGAATGTCGAGGTTAAAGTTGGCGCGGCCAGCAATGTGATCGGGTTGGTTGTATAATGCTGCAGCATCTGCGTTGTTATCCGTCCAGCCAGAGTAGGCCTTTGCACCGGTCCACAGATACACGGCGTCGTTGGAATACGGGATGGAGATGCTATATGTGCCGGCCTCGCACGCGTAGATGTAGGCGTGATGGTTCAGGGCAAAGAAGTCGAGGTTGAAGTTTCGGCTGGAGTCGTAGATAGGACCGGTTGTCTGAGAGCCCTGGCCATAGAGACCGCCAACATACGAAGTGGTGCCGACATAGATGGGAGTCGTCTTCTTGTAAGAGTCTGGATGGAAGGTAGAGTAGGTTGTGTCGGTATTGCGTGCCGAGTTGTTGTAGTACGCCCAGTCAAACCCAAGGTTGTTGCACGATGGAGGCGCCGGACACTGTGTCGGACAGCTTGGGGGCGTAACTGTCGGAGTGACAGTGGTGGTAGAGATAGAGGTGGAGGTTTCTGTTTCTGTCTGGGTGATTGTCTCCGTGTCGGTGACGGTGCAGGTCTCCGTCTTGGTGCCTCCGCCCAGAGTAATCGTCAACAGGGCCTTCCACGAGGTGACTGTCTCGGTCTCTGTCTGTGTTACTGTATGGCTTGGATCACACGTGGGAGTTGGATAGGTGCGAGCATCCAGCTGGCCGGCAGGGATGGCAACAGCATGACCATTGGCAACACTGGCCATTGCTGCAGAAGCCATGAGGGCTTGGACAAGTGTCTTGTGGACAGTCATGATAGTTGTGGAAGTGGTTAGTTGAGAGGCCGGATATGCTGATGGATTGAAGGGTCGAAGATGAGGACAGAGACGGTATTAGTTGTTCTGCTGTTCATTACTACATCTGTACCTACAGGTATTTATACTCCCATCCTAGCATTATTAATGGCGGTCGCAGTACACCTAACTGCAGGCTATGTAGTCGTGATCTCAAATCGAAAACCTCATTTGCCCGCTCTTCCCACCGCTCTTCCCACCCGTCCAATGTCTTGCAATAAAAACGGGCAAAGCTGCCATGCAATAAACCAGCTGAGTCGCAGGCAGAGACAACAATAAGCACCGCTGGCCGGCATTGCTATTGGGAACTACAAAGCTGAAATGCACCTGGGCAAAGCTAGCTACAGGGGTGGGTGCATAGCAGCGTCGTATCCGCAGTTTAAAAAGGATAAACTCATGCTCTCCGCGGCCATCTCGGTGTTTAGGTGCCTGAACAGTTGTGGATCTTGCTATTCATTGATCGCATCGTGATGGCTACCTTCGTATCCATGCAATTACCAATGCAGCTCCAAATGACGTGGCTGACATGGCCGCGCCGATCATAGCTAGATGAGATCGAGGTGGAGATTAGACTATATGCAGCTTATTTTTTCCAGGCTCAACACAGGGCCTCTTTTCTTGTGCTTTTTGTTGTTTTCTTCTTTTTCAGCCAGCCTCTTGCAGATGCATGTTGTCGGAAAATGCCCCTTTTGGCGCCCTAGTAGCATTTGGCTGTAGCGGGCAATTTCCACAGTTGCTCACCGGTTCTATATCAAAGTTCTTAGGCTAATAGCAACACCTATCGTCATTTTTTCTTAAACATCCTTGAGCTAGATCCAATTCAGGGTGATTTGTTTGCTCATTGACTGTACCTGATGGAATTGGTCGTCTCGTTGCCTCCTACCCGGCAATGAGTTGAGTCTTGGCGGGGTTTTTGGGGACTTGAAAATCGAATCTTAGAGACTTGTACACTCTACCTACTCTTTCCACTCTAAGTTTAGGTATCTAATAGGTATATTTTAGCGCAATTTTATAGTGTGTACTCCGTAGAGTCATTGGGAGATGCTGGTCTAGATATTACTGTTGCGTTAGCTAGCTCAAGCGCCCTGGAAACAACCAAGCCCAATAAAGCAACCACCACTACGGCAGCCTATAAAGGTCATTGTTGCAAGACTAACGAACAACAAAATATGTTGCACGTATATTCAGGGATAGGGAAGCTATTTTGCTGCTAAATCTTACATCGTGACTTTCTAATGCTTAGAGTTTGCATAAAGGCCGTTACGGTAGACCGAGATATGATCTCAAGATGGCAGGTAGTTGAACATTTAGGTTGTAATATAGAACTATAACATCGCCCGGCCTGCATGGAGAGGAAGCGAACCCTTTGAAGTCTCCAAGGGAGACTGGCAAGGAGCTACAGAAGAAAAATGAATTGCCTGCAAAACCACGCAAAGAAGCAGATGTGGCAATTCTGTTCAGACTCTCTTCACTGTTCTTCTAGCTGGGATTTGAATTGGAGGAGATTCACAAGATCCTTGGCCAAAACCTCGACCGGGAGATCACAAGACGCAATCTTCTTAGGGTCCGAAGGCCATGGCGGTGTGTATACGACGATATGGAGCGCCGGATGCCGCAAATGGTTGAGATCTTTGATACAGTACAAAGAAGGGTTGTAGAACCAGACGTTGAGCCCGCCAACGGAAGGCAGTCCGCCAGCCCTCAGATGCGATGCGGTATGCGATGCGGTATGCCTTATCACCTGCATCATAATTACGATAAACAACTCCTTTACCTCCCTACAATGTACAAGTTACTCCAAGACGACCAGGGCGTGGTTGACTCCTGTTTATTCGAATGTCTGTATATTTTGCGTTCCTCGGCAAGAACTCGTTGTCACATGTGTACCATTCTATTCGAGAGCACGCAAACTAGGGGCTTTGGCCTATTTCGATAAGTTTTCTCGCGATATAGTATTAAAGTCCAGGACATTCATGACTAGCTTCTTCGCGTAGCGGCATCACGTAACGGCCGCGCGTTGTGTTACGAGTAATAGTGGCTGGGAGGTAGTACCCCAATGCCCAGCCTTGGACATTACCGCCTCGGTTTGTTTTATTTCGAAGGCCGTTCAGTTCCTACCGGCAGTTAATCCCAAACTGGCACTACGTTTGCTTGTTTCAGGGGCTAGAAGCAATTCATTGGCCTGCGCAATGGCCAGGCCCCAGTCCCCCCCGATGTGGTGGGACTCCTCCCGGAGCCACCCGCCCACATCCCGGACGAACTGACGCAGCATCAGTGTTCCCTAGGTGTAGTGTTGGTACACTCTCTAAATCTATCACAAGTTTCCGGATCCCTATACAGGGGAGGATAACGACGACGTCGTTGCATATAGGACTCGGTTACAATTAATAGAATGGAGTGCCCACAAGAGAAAAATCATATATATGCCAGGTACAAACACCTTGGGCATGAGTCTAGAGAACGAGTAGCATACCGATTAATCTTCACGACCTCGACTCTCCTCAGTATTAAAAAAATCACATCTCGACTAGTCATATTGCGTGTCTATATTTTCCCACCTTGACCAGGCTATCTGCGACCATGCGTTTCTCAGCAATCTTCTCAGGCGCAATGTTCGGCGTCCTCCTAGTCTCAGCTCACCCCGGCCATGATATTCGAGCCGAAGTAGCTGAGCGCTCGGCCGTGCTCAAGAGGCTCACGCGCAAGGATCTTAATCACTGTGCGGCCAAATTGAATGCTCGCGGTATTACGGCTCGGTCCACGAAGCGCAGAAGAGACTTAGCAGCCCAGCATGCGAAAGGTGGGAGTCTAATGGGTATGTGGTTCAGCGTTTGCTCCTCGCCCCCGTCAGCTTATTCCGGGACTAATAAATAAACAGGCCGCACCCTGGATAACCTTCTCAATGAGTCCCATCACTCTGCGGAGTACTATACTTCAGAGACGCCGGAAAGCACCATCTTCGCTTCGAATAACTCGTGTGTGCTCAGCCCGGAGGTAACCGAGGGTCCTTACTGTCAGTTCAGACTGATAGCTTACTGCAGAAAACGAAGCCGACTGACACAATACCAGACGTTTCCGGCGAGTATATCAGAAAGAATGTGACAGAAGACCAACTTGGTGTCGGCCTCATCCTGGATATCCAGGTCCTGGATACAGAGACTTGCGAGCCTGTAACTGGCGCGTTTCTTGAAATATGGCGTATGTTTTCTCGTCCCCCAGTCGCAGAAGCCGAAAGTGACCTAGAAATAACATCTCATCTGTCTTTGGCCAGACTGCAACTCGACGGGTGTCTATTCGGGAGTCTCTGCGTCTGGGAATGGCAATAGCGCCGTGGACACATCAAATCTCAATGCCACCTTCCTCCGCGGCGTCCAGGAGACCGATTGCGATGGTACCGTGCAGTTCGATACGCTCTTCCCAGGTCACTATACGGGTCGAACCACGCACATCCACGTCATGGTGCATCTCAACGCGACGGCTGAAACCAACGGAACACTGCTCGATACAAATGCCGCCCACGTCGGACAAATCTTCTTCGACCAAGACCTCATCAACCAGGTGGAGGCCACAACGGTATACGCGACCAACACGCAGACGTTGACGACAAATGCAGAAGATAGCATCGCCGCTCAGGAGGCAGAGACAAGCGACCCGTTCATGGAATACGTGCTTCTGGGGACCGACGTGCAGGATGGACTGCTTGGCTGGATCAGTTTCGGCATCAACACGACACTCAGTAAGGAGGTCACCGCTGCGGCGACGTATTATCAAACTGGTGGCGAGGCGAACCCGAATGCCGGCGCCGGCGGCGGTCCGGGTGGTGCTCCCCCAAACGGCACTTTTCCCAGCGGCGCTCCTCCAAACGGCACTTTGCCCAGCAGCGCTCCTTCAAGTGCCACGTCATCTTCGTGAGCTTTACACCTAAAGTATAGCCAAGGCGGCCGTCATATAGCAAGCAAGTTGGATGAAAGGAGGCAGCCCAGTTTCCCAGAAGGGCTCGAGTAAAGTACAAGCTGAGAGAGAAAATATCAGACACAGCCTGAATTACCCCTTATTACCTTTTATAACTGTGACGTCCTGTTCCCTATTATAGGTATATGGTAGCTGGAGGTTCCCAAGGTAATAAGCCTAGGCCAATCGATTGATGTTGGCAGAGAGAATATATAAGAAGTAGCTTTGAGCACTAATTTTATCCCTGAAAGTCGACTCAGTTGTAATATTAAGGTTATTTTTAAGGTTCTTATGGAGCCACTCATTTTTGGTCACAAACGCATGTTAACTCTCCCATTGCCTTCATTTGTTGCTCTTTCCTCGCGTTACGACCATCGGAATAATTTGGTCCCTAGGTTTGGTCAAATGAGATCAAAATATTCATTTGTAGAATGGTTATTATCGTGGTGTATGTCTGCATGGTAATGTCAGCAACTGCCTCGAACAAACGAGCATCAATACCAGTTCCAGCAGAGCGATTCCACTTACTAGCTTCCCCTACAACTACATGGCCATCATCCTGCTTGCGAAGGATATATGGAAACGTCGCACCCTCCAAGACGACTATGGAATCCCCCTCCTGCGCCCCTTGCGGAAGAAGCAAGACGGCTCCCTCGGAGGAGAGGCCAAGCCGACGGCCTAGACCAAATTCACGCAAGGCGCAGTGAATCCTGAAGAATGCATGAGAGGTGCTCTCGTCGACAGAGTCGGAAACCAGCAGCCCTTTCACCTGGCGGATGTTCAGAGTTGCCATAGACAAGTGAGGGTCTGGATCTGGCTGTTTGAGCTGCCAGTCGTTGGGAGACACTTCCGTATATCCGAGATCATGGCTCCTTATGGTTTTGATGGAAAGAAAGTCCAGCCAAGCGCGGTCATTGAATCTCTCAAGGAGTCCTTTACGCAGATACTCGTTACGCCGGAGGAGGTGGTCGAACATCGGACCGCAGTCCTCGACAAACTTCTTCCAGGATTGGTAGGTAGATTGCAACTGCTCGTTCGAGTCGCATGGGCGCACATAGGTCGCGTGGATGGCCCTGATGGTACCTTTACAGTATCCCCGGGCGCTCAGGACTCGTTCGCCTTTGTCAAAGTTGAAATTGGCCGTGTACGACGTGTATTTTTGGAGGGGGAATGGCTTTGCCTGCCAAGCGTCGGCCAGATTCGGCACCCAGGATGGCAGGCCGTGCAGCCTTGCTGGATTCTGACAAGCGCTGAGGACGTCTAGCCGCTTCGTGTTGGTGATTATGGCACGCGCTGCCTTGAAATAGACGTCAGTGAGCGACAAGCGGTAGTCGGCGGCGATTTGGTAGACTTCAGGATCAGCAAGTCCGAGCACTGAGAAGACCTTATCGCGCAGGTCAGTCGCCTTAGACGCGCGCGCGTGAAAGAGCAACTGGACGAGCGGCGCATAATCCCGGCCGTTGCTGGTATCTGAGGCGATATTGTGAAGCGTCTGCGCAGTCTCATACCACGGAAGTGTCCAGCCTGGTTCAGCATTCAGCGCAACACTGTCCGCGGTTGGATCGTAGTTGAGATATTGGCATATGTATGCCAGCGCCATGCACGCAGCTACAAATGTGTGCATAGGGCAAGTCTCAGAGCCGCATTGGACAGTAGGATGGCTTGCCAGGGCGACCTCCTGACGGATCCACGCTCGTTCCCACCAAGGACGCTGGAAGAGGGCCCGCAGAGCCTTCCAAGTGCGCAGCTTGGTCTGCTCGTCAGCGGTAGGATATGTTGTGGGAGCCTCGCCGGGACCGCGGGTTGGAGGCTTCGAAATCTGGTTGATCACGTCGATGGCCATGTTGCTGTCGTCAGCCTCCTCGCCCAGCCAGATTCGCACATTGCTCGCTCGCTTGTAAATCCTCCGCATTAGCGATACTTGGGAGTTCCGCTCATCCACATCAGCCTGGTTGATGCAAACAGCGTCGATCCACCAATAAGTCACAGGAGGCTGGAATGCCTTGGCAATGTGCGGGTTGCGTGCTTGCAGGGCGACCATGTGCGGTGGCATCGCTGGCTTGTTGGATATGCGCAGCTGCTGGAGCGCGGCCTCGAGATTCTTGGTGATACCGAGTACGCTGCCATCGAGGATGATACGTCCATCGAACTTGGGCTCTCCCCAGGTGTATGAGAGCGCAGTGAAACTCTGCAGCGCCGTGGAAGCCTGGGAGCGGTCTCTCGCCAGGCTGGTTTTATCGCTGTCGAGGCTGACGCGGATGAGACTGCACCTGATAGGATCCGCTTTATTAGAGGTGGTCGTCAGAGCCAGAACCCGGATCTCGCTCTTGGATGGATCCAGCGGTTCATATTCGTAGCGGGCCAGCTTGTTAGGGTCTTGCTCCTTGTGCTGGGGTTCTTCCACCTTGGGAGCTGGCGGCTGTGGAGAAGGAGAAGGCGTTGGCTCCAGTTGGATGGATTCGAGGGCCCCAAGTCCAAGTTTGTCAAGAATCCTGTTGAGAGCCGTCTCAATCCGGTCCAAACGGGCCTCCACTCGTTCGACACGTTCGCGAATGGGCACGATGTAAGGGAGATTCATGTAAACCTCGGTCATATCCTGGCCAGCCTTGCCCGCGGCCATATTTGTTGCGAACATATGTAATATGCGCTGTGTCAAAGAGGTCTTTAGTAAAATTGATAATTTGGTTCAACAAGTCCGAGGTCGAAGTTCCCCCTTGGTGCGTTTGGGTCACGTTTGGGTCACCTCGGAGGCCGTGATCAAGGACAGGTAGACTGTCAATAGCAAATATAACCAAACACTACTAGCACATTTACTGGAGTGCGCACTTCGCTTTTGCTGCCTGGCCCAGTGGCTTGACGTAGACAGATATATAATCCTCGCAGAGGGAAATCATATCCAACAATCAGGGCGCATGCACGATCCTTTGGTGCCTCAGCCGCATTTCAGCCCCCTCGTTTCATCTCAGCCCCTCCATCGAGAACTAGAGTATAAGGACATGTGACGAACCTGGTCCTATACCTAGGTAGTTAGGATAGGTCAGCTGTTTCCAGGGGATAAAGCTCTAGGTTCTAGATTTACGTTAGCGGATCGGTTAGGTTGGTTACGGGTGCTGTCTGCATAATACATACATGTAGCAAGTAGAATAGTGAACCAAATCTAATCCAATTACGACTATATTAATGGCTGGCTATTTAAGCTATTCAAATAAGCATTCTGGGAGCCTTAGCCCGTCCATATCAAGACACGCGTTCCGAGACTCTCCCTACTAGCAGCCCGAACCGCACACACAAAGCACGGCCCGCCCGGCCGGCGAATCACCGCACACTTGCCCCGTTCGGAGCACCACGCCCGGGCCAAGACTTCGGCCCCGTTCCCGGTGGCGTTGATGACCATGACCTCATCGTCGTCCGTATCCTCGGCGGTGTGGTCCTTGAGCCTGTCCAGCGACCAAATGTTCTTCTGGAACAGCTGCAGCCCCCTCATGTGCACCTCGTGTGCGCCCCTAGGACCCTCGTTGCAAGGCGGCGGCGTCACGAAGACCGGATTAGTGAAGAGCTTATAGGTGACGGCTTCCTCATTGTTGTCCATCTTGAACGTGATGCTGGCCCGATACTCGGCCTCGTGTTCCGCCTGAGAGTCCTGAATCTTGCCCTCTGCTGCCTTTCGTGCCGCCCCTACCTGCGGCGCCAGCTTCTTGAGCTGGATGGATAGGATCTTGCACGTCCCCACGTCCCGCACAGGGGGCTCCGGGATCACCCAGTTGCTGGGGTTGCGCATCTCGGCCATGTACGGCTCCATCTCCTCATCAGGGCGGATGTCTGTCGCTCTGCGACGGTCGTACAGTGATCTTCCCCACACGCCGTCGTCTTGGTTAGTACTGTGCTCAGTCAGGGCGATTCGCCGCGCCTTGACACGAACGTGGTGTGGTTGAACCGGCCTCTCAACGGGGGGGTCGAATTCAACCTTGGGGCAAGGTCCGATCCAGCCACAAAGTGAGATGATGCCGGGCAGGCAGCCAAGAACACGTCCTAGAACTGTCCTCAGACGCCAGTATGACCGCGTCGGCAGCACCAAGCCGCAGTCAAAGTACGGAGCGATGCCGGTTTTGTCCCTGATGCTGGGCGTGCAGAGGATCAGGGCCGTCATGATCTTGAAGGCGAACCATTTCCCCGGCAGCACGAGACCGTACAGCCAGTCGTGTAAGTGGATGCCGACTGTACCACCGGTATGGAGACTGCTGTAGACGTCTTCGGCGTAGTCGCGCACCTCGTTGATGTAGGGCCAGCGCATGCGCTCAGCAAACAGCAGCAACCCTTCGACCTGCTGCTCGTGGACCAGCGAGTGGAACTCGGGCGCCTTGCCGAATATTTCCCAGTCCTCGTCCAAGAAGGCAGAGCGCAGTTTGTGCTGTTTGGCAATGTCTTTCTCCGAGTTGATGGCCTTGATCTTCTCTTTGATCATTTCCTCGGCGCTGGCAAGTCCTTGGCGCATCTGAGCTGTCGTGTCCTTGCCAGCGACTTGCAGTGCCCGTTCATATGCTTTCTTGGCTCGTTTGGCATCACCCTGTTTAAATATGGCCATGCCGAGCCGAGACCAAGCTTTGGCATACTTGGGGTCCAACAAGGTGGCCACATAGGCATCTTCCTCAGCCTCCAAGAACATATCTAGCCCAATCAGCGCTGCTGATCTGTTGCACCTGTATATCGCATTTGAGAGATCAATCTTGATTGCTTCGGTGTACAAGTCAACCGCCTTCTGATACTCGTTTTTCTTTAGTGCTTCGTTGCCCTGATTCTTGTAGTCTTCTGCCTGGGCCTTTTGTTCCGCTGTCTCGGGGCCTTCGGGGCTATCGGCTGGCAGTTTTGCATCAGTGAGGACAATCTGTACATGCTTTAGCCACAAGTCGGAGACGATAAGGGATGCTAGGACCCGCTCCGTGAAGCCGCTCCACGACGTGCCCTCGTCCAGGTGTTTTAAGCGGAGAGCCAGCTCCCTGCCAACAATAATCTGCCGTAGCAAGTTCCAAGTTCCGATACACCCGTCGTCTGTTGTGCCAGCCCACTGCTCCCCAATAGTAGATGACGTTGTAAAGTCAGCGAAGACGTCGGTGCGATTGAGAAGACTGTACAAGTCGCCGATCCATCGGCTTGGGTCCTTTGCATATTTTGCATCATAGTAGACGATACTGTCATGCTGTTTAGTTAACTTTCTCAATCTGGGATGACAACTTTTCACAATCTCATGCTAGGTCCGCAAGAGTGGCCACGTACCCGAGGGTCCCAACCACCTCTTTAAGGTCAAGCTCTTCCTTATCCGGACTCCAACCAAATTTCCCTGCGTGGTTTTGCAGGTCGTCTATTCTGCGTAGCAGCGTCCTGGCAGGTAACACCGGCAAATCGGAGTAATTCACTGTAATAAGTTGCTCTCTGTTGCGTGGCTTCGTGGTTTCAAAGTCCCAGCACTCCAGTCCATAGCCTTCCACCGTAACGGTTCCAGGGTTTTCGTTTTCGAACTTGACGTGGCTTTCAGGATCAAGTAGCGCGTAATCCTCCGAATCATGCGACCAATACTTATCCCGAGACGGCTTCTTCATGTACTTCTTCCGCTTGTAAATTTCTACTTCTTGTCAGCGGAATCTCAGCAGGGAGCTACCATACAAATGATCTCACCGAAAGCTGCATGTGTTGTCGACACGAAGCCTTTGTCCCTGTCCTGCCATGGAGATGGGAACGTACGATCGGTCTTGTCGCCGATCCAGTAGACATGCCCAGAGACATGCGCCAGTCCGCCGTGCGGACCGATAAGGCTGAGAGTCACAGCTCCAAAGCTCTTCTTCGCATTGTACAGATCAAGCTCTCTCAACCGCTTGGTCATTTCATCCAACTCAGGCTCCTCTTGAGTAGCCTCAGTCGGCGTGGTCCGCCCCTCAGCCTCAGCCTGCTGGTTACCCCGTGGAATCTCCTCGTCAGCATCTTCCCAACCATCTTTGGCCCAAGTATTCTCAGTCGTCGCTTGGCTAGTCACATCGTCCTGAATCCTCGAAACTGATAGCAACTCTAGCCGTAGGCTCGCACACTCGGAGAGATCTTGGTGCTCCTCTGCTGTCGCCTCCTGCAGCAGTCGCAGCCCCCGGATCTCGACGGCACCTTCAATCTCGGCCCTCATGGCTGCGGCGGCCCGTATCTGCGCGTCCGGGAACAGACTCTCGAGGCTGTCATTGAACCCGCGCAGCTCGCTTATGAGCATGTCGAACTTGCGACGGTCGCGTACCGCCCATACCACCCGGCGATTCAGTGCGGTGCTCCGCTGCCGGTGGCCGGCCATGCGGCGCAGATTCTCGTATGGTCGCTTGAACACGCCAATGAGAATGCGCTGGGTCTGCGGTGGCAGCGGCTCTTGCTCTTGTCCATGGCTCTGCGTCTGACTTTGGCCTTGGCTTGTCAGGCCGAGCGGAGCGGCTTCTTGGAGGCCGTAGTAGTCCTGCAACCGGTCTGTGTTCTCGAAGACGTGCTGGATGCACCCAAGCAGACGGAGCACGGTGCTGCGAACATCCTCTTGACGGAGCCGGACGTCTAACCTAGTTGTGTTAATGTTACTCTGATCTCCAGAGTTCGGCGATGTTCCTGGATTCCATGCCCATGTCTGCACACCAGCGAGACCCAGGGCGTCGCCCCAGCAGAGCAGGCGGACGCGCTCCACCTCGAACTTGACATTCAGAAGCTCGAATTCCATGCCATGGTGGCGGGTGGAGTCGATGATTTCGTAGGCCTGGACGCAGGATTGCCAAAGCGCAGCAACGCCAAACACAAGTCCAGCAATGTCAGTCATGGTAACCTCAAATTTGCTTAGTGATATAGTGCTCAAAGATTTGATAAGGCAACGCAGAATGAATGCGACAGTTCAAACAAACAAACTTGCCAGGTTGTTGGAACTTGATATAGCTAGTCCATCAAGAACATAACGTCTAGCAACAACGGCTCCAAGCTGCGGCTGAAATTAGCAGGGCTGCCTAGATCTACATACACACTACCCGTTGGTTTCACCCCTCGTGACCAACTTAGAGTCTTCGGTTCTATACAACAGGATCGCGATCCCCGCATGTGAAGGAGGCTATACAACGGGCCCTGACCAAGCAAGGCATCTTGGAGCAGATGTCTGAGTGTTCTTGGGGCGCGGCAACTGACGGTTTGATAGATATCATGATGGAGGTTTTTTGGGGATAAAGATGGTGACAATAACAGGGCCATACAGGAAGCTGCAAAAGAAACAACGCAGGAATCTTGCGGGCAATGATGGCGACGACTATGAATTCTAAAGCGAGCCCAGGTCACAATCGCGATATCATGACAAGCAGAAGATGACAGCAGACAAATCGGATGAGTAAATGTTTTTTTTTTTAATAATATGACTAATTCACATTAAATAAAACAAAACATAACAAGGAAATACCAAAAAGTGACTTCAAACACAGCTGTAATTTGGCTGCAATTCCAAGTGTCGGATCGTTAATTAATCTCTTGCTTCATTAAGGCAAGGTAGCTCATATTAAGCTACTGCTGTTTGCTAGCGCCTTTTGGAGCACTAGAAGTCGCCTCGCCAGAGGTACGTAGCGGCAATCCATAAATGGCTATTCCGACATTCTCCCTCTCGCACTGACTAATTCTCGGACGCCGATTGGCTCGGCCGAACCCTGCGGGCACAGGTACGGCGGTACACACCGGCAAAAAGATCATGTCATAATCGTTCCTCAGCGTTCCTGAGCTGAGCCGAGAAATTGATTTCAAACATCCGCATCTACCCTCCCCACCTTCACCTTGAACCTCCGGATCCCAATCCGAATCCTTCCCACGAAACCCCAGCATGCACGTTCGGGCAGCATTTTTATGATACAATGATGAACGTCTCCTTCTCTACCGGCCGCGCTGCTCTGCGCCTCAGCCGCTCGTCTTTCCGCCACCTGTGCGCCTCCAGAGTCGCCGGCTTTGCCTACCACTCCTACCCCTTGCCATCCAAAATCCCCGAACCTCCCACAAGCGACAACATCTCCAAGCCATCCCTCGCCCAGACAGAGGCTCTACCTCGAGTCCACGAGACACGGCCGCCGCCGCAGCACGAAGGAGCACCCAAGCCCACAGCTCCGCCGCAGGTGCAAGCTCAGACGCCTTCTCCAACAACATCCTCAGTTCCTCCGTCTCCCAAAACCGCCGAGGCCGATGCGCAAAAGACACAACCTGCTCCTGCTACCCGACCTCGCTCCAAGCTCCGTGCGCGTAAGGCCGCGATGAAGCTCACACCCGCTGCCGTGGAGCAGCTGCGCGCACTGCTCAACCAGCCCGACCCAAAGCTCATCAAGGTCGGTGTACGGAACCGAGGCTGTAGTGGACTGGCCTACCAGCTGGAATACGTCGACAAGCCGGGCGCTTTCGATGAAATGGTGGAACAAGACGGCGTCAAGGTTTTGATTGACAGCAAGGCGCTCTTTAGCATCATTGGCAGCGAAATGGACTGGGCGGAAGATAAACTGAGTCAGAAGTTTGTTTTCAAGAACCCCAATATCAGTACGTGGTATCCCGTCATGGCAATGCATTTGCAACTCATTTCTACGAAATTCAAAGAAACTAACCAGTAGCAGAGGAGCAATGTGGCTGTGGCGAGTCATTTATGGTCTAAGGAGCTTGGGAAGCTACAAAGAATTATGACAAAGGCCGCGACGCATAAGAATACCACCAAGGCCGATATATGAAGGAATTGTACGATGGTGATTAGAGAAAGAATACGAGGGCGAGGCAAGTCTCTGCAAGACAAGTTTGCCACAGCCCAATCCACGAAATGGTTTCACTATAATGGTGCCGATAAAAGCACGTTACGAGCACGGAACAAAGAAGCAATAGCACTATGGGGACATGATACCGGCGTTAGGTTAGAGGCACAAACGGCCCTTGGTCATATACAAGTCAAATATACTACTCTGTGAATAATCTGGGGTCTCTTTGCATTTCAGAAAGGGGCATGATGCCTTGTTATTAAGCTCTGGGAACAGGCCTTTTGCTGCATAATTTCAATGTGAATTTTCAATGCTGAAGCCTAAAGTCTATTATGATGATCTTCACATTATATTTAATATTTACCGCAACACGATTTGACTCATCGCCGCTTCTTGATTCCACGTACTGAGCGCCCTTCAACACCCGCTGATGTCATCGCGGTTCCAAAGCAATGGCACGTGACCTGGCGTCGAGTGTTGCTTTAGATATCGCGACGCCAATGAACTATTGCACGTCACAGCTAGAATTAACTAGAAATGCCGAATTCATCCGTCCACGTATATATATGCTTTTAAAAATCATCTTAATTCTGATCAATTTCATCTTGAATCTCATTTACCGATATTACAACGCCAAAGCAAACGCACATACTAGCATAACCTCTGCTACTCCGAGAACACTCAATCACTTACACGCAACTACACACGAGTTTTGCTCATAATAACCATTTCTTTCTATACAACACAAGCCATCAATACTCCTCCCATGGCGCCCACCGTCCAAAAACCCAACAAATCAACAACCAGCACCACAACAATGAAAACCTCAGTCTCCAAAGTCCGAAAACCCAGACCCAAAACCCAGATCACGCCCACCATCGGCAAATCATCTCCCCACATCCCAGCAGACATGGAGCCGCAGCTCCTCCGCATCGCGCAGAGCCAGCGCACCCCCTTCGAGAAGCGCGTGTGGACGGCCCTATGCCAGATCCCGCGCGGCCGAGTGACGACGTACGGCTTGCTTTCTGCGTATCTGGGGACGTCGCCGCGGGCCGTGGGAAATGCGCTGCGGAGGAACCCGTTTGCGCCAGAGGTGCCGTGCCATCGCGTGGTGGCGACGGGAGGGGCGCTGGGAGGGTTCAAGGGTAGTTGGCCCAAGGACGGGGAAGGGATTACCATTACGGAGAAGAAGAGCTTGTTGAGGGGCGAAGGGGTGAGACTTGACGATAAGGGGAGGGTGCTGGGGACGGTGTGGTCTGGCTTTGAGTAATGAATGATACGCGGGAGTATAGTACGGAGAGAGAGAGAGAGAGTCATCTTAGCGTTGTCTAGTATTGTATTGGATTGCTCTTCATGGCGGAATTAATCTACGGGTATAGAACTCTAATAATGTATACTACTGCTGCATGACACATGAATCGTCTAATTGACATGATGTTTGAATCGCAAATCTGGCTTCTCACCGGGCCTGTATAACGCCATGTGGACTCCCAACGCGGGTGTTCCGATGATGTCTGCCTGCAGCCTTTGAGCTGCCCAATCTCCGCGATACTCGATGCTTTCAAATTGCTGGGCTAGGCGGACCACTAGAAAAGAGACGCAGTCAGTTGATGCACAGCTACACAAAGGGGGATATTTGTCTTGTCCTCTTTCTTCTTCAAACTCACAGCAAAACGCCATTTCTGTCAGAGCAAAGTTCTGCCCAGCGCATATCCTCGGTCCGCCAGAGAACGGAGCATATGTCCAAGGCTTGGGCGTCCAATGCTCCCATCTCTCGGGGCTGAATATCCTGGGATCCGCAAACTTATCGGAGATGGGCGGGTACAAATCTGCAAACGCATGCATCCCGAGCGTGTTAATCGTTACACTGTCTCCCTTGAGCAGGACAATGCCCGGCTCGCCTGGCCGGCCTGGGATGGTTGTCGTTTCGAGTACTTGGCGCATGTTGAGGGGGGCGGCTGGATGCAGTCGAAGAGTCTCGTTGAGGATGTTTTTGACATATGTTAGGTCTTTGAGTGCCTCGTACATCGGTGTTGCATGGCTGCCTATTTCTCTGAGGACTTCCTTGCGCAGCCTGGCCCAGAGCTTGGGGTAGTTGGACAACTCGTACATTGCCCACGATAGAGTTGCCGCGGTCGTATCTCTCCCAGCAAGAAGCACGGACATGATCTGATCACGGATTACTTTACGATCCCTGGTGAAGCGGGCGATACTATGTAAAAACGAGAATTCCATGTCCGATGTGGAGAGCTCTTCAAGTTGAGCCTGGGGGATGGCTAGGGTTCGCGTGATGGCCGGCTCAATAAACTCCTCTATCCTCCTAATGGCTCGATGATAGTCACCTTTTGGAATTAACGGCGCAATTGGACTTGCAGCAGTTGATTAGCACTTTGTAAACGATGTTTGGCGCAAGGCCGGAGGATATACTAACTTGAGGACAAATATAAACATTTGTATCCGCTGTGCAACATTCATGGCCTTGAAAACGCCATTGTCGGGGCTGAAGGAGGCTGGTATCAACATAATTCTAGATGTTAACGAAGAAGGCAAGACGACTTACAAATCTAAGCTGTTCACATTCTCTCCAAGTAGAAAGTCTGTCGTCGTGTCCATCGACCAGCGGTAGAAGAGGTCCTTGAGGTCGATGGTTGCTCCAGCAGAAGGAATTTTGGATAGCAACTTGGCGGTGCAAGCATCAAAGATGAAAAGATTGCGCAGCCTGTCCCTGAGAAACATGGATCTGATCATGGCGCGGCTGTCCTGCCAAAGCTGCCCATCTACAGCAAAGATGCCGTCTCCCAGAAACGGTCGCCATAGCTTGTGCCACATGGGTCCATGGCCGAAGCTGGAGACGTTGGCTGCCAGAACCGCCTTGATCTGCTCCGGATCTCTGGTGATGAGGACTCGCTTGGATCCCGTCAAACTGAACTCGGCAAATGTCCTTTTCCCAGGCGGCAGGCTATCCAGCTGAGCCGTGCACCAATCGACGAGGCTGTTATTGTATTGATTCTTGCCGATCTCGTAGTACAACTTGGACGCTGGTGATTATTAGGAGAGAAGACGCATATAATGATGAGGGGGCAAATACCAGACAGCAAGTTACCCGCCAGGATCGGGGCCCGGACACCACCAGCCTTCCTGATTCTGATATCCGAAGCAAGATGCCGGAGCCATACAAGCACAGTGAGGATGGAGACAATTGCAAACCCGACGCCGGCTACCATGGTGAAGCTCGCGGATTGCAAACTTAATAGCAACATGGTTGAATGTGTAACGGAGACGAAGGGGGCAGAGTACCTATAATAAGGCGAGAGATGGGTGGAACTACACAACGGAAGCTGCGATTTCGATCCTACCCAAGATTCAGAGAGCAAAAAGAGATGAGCTAATATGGCCAAGAAGACGGAGGCCAGGACATGTGAGGTTTCGGCCGTCTGTGTGCCTTGTAGCTGTGCTTAGTATTATTGGATGGAGCGTCTTATACCGATGACCAAAGAACCCCGAAAAACAGTCCGAAGCAATACGCACACAGCCGAGTAGCGGCCAACAAGAGAGCCACTGCTGCTATTTCGAGTGCAAGTGGGCTCAGCTGCTTCTTATTTCAAGCTCGAGTCGGACTGGGACATTTACGAGTACATGGAACTCAAGCATTAGCATTCAGGTAGATAGCCTCCATTCCTTGTTAATCAATCTACGGCTTTGCACGCGATAGGCCAGGGACCGAGGCGGCGCATGTAAGGATGACGGGCCGCATCTCCAAAGGGCAGCCCTGTTCGCATGGTGGCGCGCTGAAAAGGAAAATAAGAAAACAGAAAACAGGAGCTAGCAGAAAACGCAAGTCCCTGGTCTAAATGGCGAGCTGTGATACGGGGAAATACGACCAAAGCAGCTGGAACAGGGAAAAAAGGAGGGAGGCTGATCATTTAGCTCTGGCTGGGCGAAATTGCCCGAACTGGAGGAGCTACTGTACGAGTTAGCAGCTGCAAGCCATTTTTTGAGGGCTCGACTGCGAATGGCTGGCTTACGAGCACGGTGTAAGGGGGGGCTGGGAAAGATGTGCCACGTTGATTAAGTGAATAATACGGTGCATGCAAGTACGACGTATTAGTACGAGTATTTAGAAAATTGTCATGTATCAAGCACTAAGGTAGTAAGAAGTATGTTGTTAAGTAGGGGGTTGAAATGTTGGGTTTTCAAACCGTGGCTTGGAAAGAAAATTGGGTGTAGGGGCACCGGATGTTAGACGCTGGCATGCGTGTGATGGTGTCCGTGCATGAGATGAGATGCTGGAGCCTTGCATGACAACATGGGTTTATCTGCGTAGTTTGCTGCTGCACAGCAAGCATCACGGGTTGACGAGATACGGTGAGAGAAGATGCTACAGTGCCCATGTCAACTGACTCTCTAGCGGCAATTACCTTAGTAGGTATTTATGAATAATTAAGATATTAAGATACTGATACTGTCAATACCTGTATTACCTGCAGGTTCCAAAACGAGTTCGTATTGTATCAATACACGCAATGCTTAGTAGGTTAGGTACGGAGTACTCCGTAGTTTAAAAAGCCCGTGCAGATACAGCCAAGAGACAGCCAAACAGCGTTCCGGATCCTGGCTATGATTGAGTTACGCCTCATTCGGCTCGGAGGGCGGCGGAACAGCCACATGACACGGCACTCGAGATTGGCAGCATGGCCCCCACATGGACTGCCATTGGCTCAACTACGCACCAGGTACCAGTACTTGGCTGGCACGCGTCTGCACATACTCTGCCCAGGTATCCCGGTACTTTGCTGGCAGCTGACAGCGCTTGACAGGGCTCTTCGGCAGCTGTCCCTCCCCCGGCGCAACGATTTTCCGCACCAGTCGGCGAAACTCGGGTACCCCCCGTCACAGCTTAGGCCGAACAAGCCAGGAAATCGGTTTCCGCATTGAGAGCTGTGCGCCTTTGAGCATCAACCGCCCAAAAAAAAAACTACACCTCGTCGAGTCCTCGAGCCGACGACTCTCGCCATCTCCCTCCTCACCGTCTCTCTCCACTCAATTTGGCAGTCGCCAGCCCCTTCATCGCAATGTTCAGCATTGGCCGTAGCCGCGCGGCGGCGTCGGCCCTCAGCGCCGCAAAGGTACGCAAACGGCGCAAAAGTTGCTCTCTTTTTACCCCCCCTTGAACATATAAAAACCCGCCCCTCCATGGGGTTGCATCTTCAAGCAGCTTCTAACGCAGGGCTTCTGCTCGTTACAGCTCCACGCCACCCCCTCCGTACGACTGCCCGGCGTCGCTCAGCAGCGACGAGCTCTCAGCATCCACGAGTACCTGTCCGCCGACCTCCTGAGAAAGGTAACCAAATAACCTCATTCTGCTTTCCCCCCCATATCGGGGCCACTCCCGCGCAGCATCCGGCTGACACGGCACTTTGTTTTTTCCGCAACAATAGTATGGCGTTGGCGTTCCCAAGGGCGCCGTGGCCAAGACGGCCGCCGAGGCCAAGTCTGTGGCCAAGGAGATTGGCACCGGCGACCTGGTCATCAAGGCCCAGGTCCTTGCCGGTGGACGAGGAAAGGGAACCTTTGACAACGGCCTGAAGGGCGGTGTCCGTGTCATCTACTCCCCCCACGAGGCCGAGATGTTTGCCCAGCAGATGATTGGTCACAAGCTCATCACCAAGCAGACGGGCGCCGGCGGCCGTCTGTGCAATGCCGTCTACATTTGCGAGCGCAAGTTTGCTCGTCGCGAGTTCTACCTTGCTATCCTGATGGACCGTGCTTCCCAGACTCCCGTCATCGTCTCGTCGTCTCAGGGAGGTGTCGACATTGAGACCGTTGCCAAGGAGCAGCCCGATGCCATCACTACGACCTACATCGACATCAACACCGGCGTTACCGACGAGATTGCTCGCGGCATCGCCACCGGCCTGGGCTTCAGCGAGCAGTGCATTGAGGATGCCAAGGACACCATCCAGAAGCTCTACAAGATCTTCCTCGAGCGGGACGCCACCCAAATCGAGATCAACCCCCTGTCCGAGACGTCCGACCACCAGGTGCTCTGCATGGACGCCAAGTTTGGCTTTGACGACAACGCCGACTACCGCCAGCAGGAGGTTTTCGAGTGGCGCGACACCACTCAGGAGGACCCTGATGAGGTCCGTGCTGCTCAGTCCAACCTCAACTTCATCAAGCTGGACGGTGACATTGGCTGCCTCGTCAACGGTGCCGGTCTTGCCATGGCCACCATGGACATTATCAAGCTCAACGGCGGACAGCCCGCCAACTTCCTCGACGTCGGTGGTGGTGCCACCCCCGCCGCCATCCGTGAGGCCTTTGAGCTCATCACCAGCGACCCCAAGGTCAGCGCCATCTTCGTCAACATCTTTGGCGGTATCGTCCGCTGCGACGCCATCGCCACTGGTCTGATCCGCACCGTCGAGGCCCTCAACCTCAAGATCCCCATCATTGCCCGTCTGCAGGGCACCAACGTCGAGCTTGCCCATCAGATCATCAACGAGTCTGGTCTGAAGATCTTTTCTATTGATGACCTGCAGAGCGCCGCCGAGAAGGCTGTGCAGCTGTCCAAGGTTGTCAAGCTGGGTAAGTTTACGACGCAACTCTATGACGAACAATGAAAGAGAAAGAAAGAAAGAGAAGAAAAGAGAATCACCTGCTGACGATGTACAATTTTTAAAAACTTATAGCTCGCGACATTGACGTTGGTGTTGAGTTCACCCTGGGTATCTAGACGGTAACAGAGTCGTAAGACTGGATGGCATGGATTCCTTGTAATATCTGTTTTTGGGTGGCAGGGGAGCAAATCAACCAATGAGCAGGGGCTCGGGAATGATGCGGCGGTCAAGGCATTTTGTTGCTTGTTTATAGCATGTATCGACGTATCTCTTTACGTTGCAGGTGAGGAAACCAGGAGGGGATGTAAAGAAAAAAATCAATCAAAGCCTTATTTAATTCTGCCAAGCTGTGGCGCAAGTTGTGTCCCGGTTCGTGTTTGTTGGGGATCGCTTCCAGGAAGATAAAGATAGGACGAGAATGATCTGATTCGATTAGGGGAGGACATTCGGTTTCCAGAGCGAGAATAAGGAGAAGGGCGCCGCCATGTCAGCATCCAGTGGAGTTTCACGACCTTAACGACTCGAGTTTTGGAAAGCTCCGTTCTTTTGTCCTGCTAGGTTTTGGGGAGTAGGCATCCGTCCATTATAAGTGCCCATGTCTACGGAAGATGACGGAGGGAGATGCTTCGATTTATTGACTAGAGAGGTCGAGAAATCGGGTGATTGTGGGATCATGTCCAAGGAGTTTTGTCGCAAGGAGGAGCATCTACTAGTATTATTATCTATTATTACCTACAAAGTACCGTTTACTGCTGTATGTATGGATGCACAGACGCCACATCTTTGGAGCTGAGGCGTGGGCCGCAATTTGGTTTGAGGGCGGTGGTTCGGGAGTCGTTCGGTTATTGCTCGATGTGTGTGGTTCGGATGAATGGCAAGTTGGATTTTTTTTTCCTGTTGCAGTGGGGGGTGGCCATAAAGAGAAGTGGGCAGGGGAATAAGAAAACGTGGTTGGGTGGACAATGCCGAGATTGAGATTGGTGGATGGTGCCTGAGAAAGGATGCACAGCGGCAGTTGGTTTTGTCTCTTGAATCTTGATTTTGTTGATTCCATTTCGATTACTTTCTATTAGATGAGAAATGATGGTTTTCTCTTGCTTCCTGTCCTTTGATTTGGAATAACGGCTTCTTCCGCATGCACTATTACTTCATACATACATAGTTGGGCATGGCATTTGTAAGTCTGCAAGGCTTAGTCACCAAAGATTCGGACGAGAGCGGATCTACGCCAAGCGCCAAACCGGGCATTGGCTCTTTCCAACCGGGCAGCATTGGCTCATTTCAGCCCTAGCGGCCGCAGTGGACCGCCCTCAGCGCGCGCTGCATGAAAGAGAGAGAGTTTGAGAGAGAGTACGGAGTACGGAGTACATGTACTCGTATTAGGCGGCAGATAGCGAGCACGATATGGCCCATCTGGTCAGACTTTCTGGGTCCTTCTGCTCTGCTTCTGCTCATACTAACAGTAATTTGATCCATTCACACCCAGACGGCGCGTATTTTTAGTCTACCAGGCCCTGATAAGCACATGCTAGTACTGTAGCCGTTTGTAACGAGTACAGCAGAAAAAGGCCAGTCAGCTCGCAGATTGCGAAATACCGACGGAGCGCCGAGACCGCAATCTATCTGGCTTCTGCAGTGTCTGCAGGGGTCTGTCGGCAGTGCTCGGGTATGTGGCGGCCAGTCATTTTTGTGCATGAGGCGTGGGATTTAATTTTTTTTTTAATTATGGCGAACAGCTTTCTTGATATGAGAGAGACCCATGAGGGGGGCGAGGATAACTTGTATATAAACTCGTCTGGGTCTCCCTTGTTTGTCGACTCGATCTGAAATCCACACTCGCAAAGCAAGCCTCTTCTTGTGTTTACTGCTTGGCACGCCTTGAGAAGGAATTCAACTTGAATCGACTTGGCTCAACTGTCTATTACACGTTCCACATAAAGCATCGAGCTTTTATACAACCACACAACTCTTCCAGTTCACACAACAATCACCACAAACCATCCACTTGGTTCACTCAACTCTCTTCAACAACCTCAAACCACATCCACAATCACTATGCCTTCTCAAGGTCAAAGCTGGTGGGCTCGCCACTGCACCCCCCGACCTCCCATCAACCCCGTCGTCGCCTGCCCTTGCCACTACTGCTACAACAAAGTCGCCGAAGAGCTCGACTACCCAAAGTCGTCTCACGGCTCCGAAGCCAGCACTCCCGCTCCTTCGAGGCCCGTCAGCCCCCATGGCCGCACCAGCTCAGCATCGTCCACTCATGTTGAGAAGGCCGACAAGCAGTAAACGAAACGATGACCGATATTCTTCGAGTCGAAAAAGAAGTATCTTGAGAGATCCCTTGGATAATTACAAGATATACATTTCGGTTTCAGCATTTCTTCGTCTTCTTTCTCTCTATCGAGCGAGCGAATACAAGCCCAAGAATTTTATATACACAAGAGGCGGCAAAAGCACCAACGGCGCTTCTCCCGATCAGTTCGGGTTCGGCCTCCGGCCCCACTTTCACTTACAGCGGCCAAGCCGGACAAAAATCAACACAAGAAGGGGATTAGGCAAGGAGGGAGGATAAATAATACGAGCGGGTTTTGGATCTTAGCGATGGATATTTTTTTTGTTTGTTGGAATACCCCCTCTTATGGAATTTAGAGTCTCATATGTTTTTAAAGCAAATCCCTTATTTTATCTTTTTAAGATGACTTGATGTTCTCATTGTGAATACTTTGTGCCTGTGCTGTTCTCATTAGGTGTGATTTACATGGGGCCATACATGAGCATCTTGACGTCACTCATGCTCCTCAAACATATACTACAAAACATCTCATATCATTAATACATCGCTAAAACCGTTGCGATTCACATATAGAGCTCATATATCTAAATTTATATCCATTGATTTTATATAAATCGCATTAACCATGTCTCCTGCAATCGACTCAGCCATCCTAGCCGCCTTAGACCTAGACAAAGACAACACCACAATCTCATCCATCGGCGGGTCAGGCTTCTCATCGACCTTCAAGCTCTCCACCACAAAAGACGGCCAGCCATTCGATTACTTTGTCAAGACAGGCTCCGGCGAGGGAGCAAAAATTATGTTCCAAGGTCCAGCCCCCCTCACCATCCCTTTTCCTTCTCTATTTCCTCATCTTCAAAGCTAAAAAACCACTCCTCCTCACTTACAGGCGAACACGCCTCTCTCAACGCAATCCACGACGCCGTCCCCAACTTCTGCCCCAAATCATACTGCCATGGCCCCATGCAGCACGCAAACAAGTACTTCCTCGCCACGGATTTCCTCAATCTTGGCTATTCCGCGTCAAAAGGCTCCGGCATCTCTCTCGCCGCAAAGCTAGCCAAGCTGCATACAACCCCCGCGCCCACCCCGAATGGCTTCGACAGGCCCATGTTCGGCTTCCCCGTGCCGACGTGCTGCGGCGACACGGAGCAGGATAATTCCTGGAACGCCTCCTGGGCCGACTTCTACGCCGAAAACAGACTACGCTTCATCGTGAGGCGCATCGTCGAGAACCACGGGCCAGACGACGAGGCCGTCGACATGGTCGAAAAGGTCGCCAGCAGCGTCGTCCCGAGGCTTATCGGGGATGATCGCATGACCATCACGCCCGTCGTCATCCACGGAGATCTCTGGAGCGGGAATCATTCGGCGGGCCAGATTGCCGGAAAGGGCGGGCGCGAAGAGGTTGTCTTCGACCCTTCCTGTGTCTATGGCCACTCGGAATACGAACTTGGCATCATGAGGATGTTTGGCGGCTATGGGAGTTCCTTTTGGAGCGAGTACGAGAGGCTTGTCCCCAAAGCAGAGCCAAAGGAGGAGTGGGATGACCGTGTCAACCTCTATGAATTGTAAGTCGAGATAACAGTTCGTCTATGGACATGCGATTATATAGTGAAGAGACAGAGGTAAGCAGGGCTAACTGCATCTGACAGATATCACCATCTTAATCACTACTCAATCTTTGGGACGGGGTACCGTGGCGGAGCCATGTCAATTATGAAGAAGCTGACATCCAAGTATGGTAGCTAAGGTATAGCGTACTCCGACGAAGGGACCTGAAATGGCCAACCCAAACACCAAGTGTAATGAATAATGTATAAATGCGCAGAAGTTAAGAAGAAGAAGAAAAAGATACAAAAACGCCTTCCCGTGCTCGCCATGGTGTTGCTGCCATCTATACTCAAGCACATGACCCAACAAAAAAAAACGAAAGATAGAAATAGATGTCTAATAATCATCCGGAATCCCGACATGCCGTACTCCCATATCAATCAATCAATAAATCATTCACTCAATCAAGCGGCCAGCATCGCCTGTCTCTCTGGCCGGTTCTCTTGTGCTTCCTCCTGTCCTGCTGGCCGTTCCGAAACCGGAAGCTGTGCGTTCGGCACCGTGGGGAGTTTCTGGTTCACGCCGGACATCTCCGCCTCCAGTGCGGCGAGTTCGTCTTCGACCTCTTCCTCGTCTTGCGCCGTCATGCGAGTTCCCAGCATTTCGCTGATTTCCTGTAAAGCTCAGTCAGTATACAAGAAGAATAAAAGAGCAGATAAGGCAAAAAATACATTTTGGTACGCAATCGCATCCGCAGCCTCTCCCATCAGCTTCTCCACGTGCTCAATGCCTCCCATCTCAGCGTGAATCTCAGACAGCACTTTTGTGCCCTGCTGTAAGCCAAATATGACGTCCTTCTGGATCTGCGCAAATTCGACGCTGGCCGTCAGCTTCTCCAGCTGCTCCAGCTGCGCATCCGTCTTGATCAACAGCGACTCCTGGTACTTCTTTCGCCGCAGCGCCAGCAGCGCCCGCTTCTTATCGCCCTTGGCGATCATCTGCTTGGCGATGTCCGTCTCCTTATCCGTGAGGACGGTGATGCGGCGCTGATACTGGTGTAGTCTGTCGCGCTGGATCTTCATGTCCAGAATCGCCCTGGAGTCTCTCTTGTCAGTTGACGATCTGCGGTAGCGATGACGGTCGCGACAGCGGACAAGGGCTCGTACTTGTCCTGGTCGGTAATCTTGCTCTGTTTGCCACCCATTGTGAGAGATGATGGTTTTGCGCTGCGGACTCTGCCGTTGTTCTACTTTGTCGCTCGACCGTGAGTCCGCAGATGGGGAATGGAGAGGAAACGCAACCCGGGACGACAATCGGCGGACAGGCCCTTGTCGTCATTGTCTCGATGTATCATGTGGCGCTGAAAGCTTTATCGATAAACAGGGGTTCCGATGTGGAATCTCACTTGGTCGATATTCACACGAGTACTAGGCCAAATTCTGTGCATGCAGTAAAACCATGGGCAGCCAGAAATCAGCATCAGGTTTGTGATGCAATGGCAATCGACATTGGCCAGCCTTGCGCCTGGAGGTAGGCATTTCCTTCTCTATCTATATGCGCAATTTATCTTTTGGATACCTCTCCATGAGTGTTCATCAGTAGGCACGATACCACGTACACAACTGGTACTCAATCGATAGATTAACCATATACAGTTAGCTCTGATACAAAATGCCATCCCCACTCCGTGCTGAATTAACAGGGCAACTTTTATTTTTGCGCAAACCATCAAGCAAAACTCATTTTCATCACAAATGTTGGCCAAGGCGCCACAGGCAACATGGCCCCCAATTTCAAGTCCCGACTGAACCTGAGACAAGGCCTCGATCGAGATGTCTATCAGATAATCAAGAAATTGGAAGAGGCCAACGACGGCAAGCCATTCAAAACCATCACCGCCGCATACGATGCCATCAAACGATCCAATTCCAGCCTCAGCAGGCAAAAGAAGCGGCCCCTCGAAGACTCGATAGATCGGGTATTGCAGTTCCGCAAGGAGGAACTAGATGACTCGGAAGACTCAGAAGCGGGTATAGAAGAGGCCGAGCTGAAAAAAACAGACGATGATCGATTTCTACTCAATCGCCAGCTGACTAAACACTGGCAAGTCGATCCTATACCACTGGGCACATCCGAGCAGCCTGCGGCCAAGAAACGACGCATCCAGACCGAGGGCGACGAGAGAGACGGCGCAGTGAGTGGCCCCGATACTGGCACCGAGACGGCGATCAATGGCGACACAGCGAAAGAGACATCAAAGACCGACAGACAAGAGAAGACGACACAGAAGAAGTCGCCCAAGTCTACCCGCTTCAAAGTCGAGCAATTAGAAGAGCCATTACCACTAGGAGGTGTCAGCGAGATACATCGCCACCTTCTGCGCCAGACTCGATATCTGCTCAAGTGCCCAGAACTCTACCAAGGAAATAGTTGGAGGAGAGTTCCTGGAATGCTCTTGTTCGGTCCTCCAGGAACTGGCAAGAGGTCACTCGTCCGCACCGTGGCAGCGAATCTTGAGGTGCCTATAATAACTCTCAATGGTTGCTTTGAGGATCCTGAACGCGTAGAGAAGAGCCTGTCCGAGGCTTTCGATACGGCCATTGGGCTGGCCCCGAGTATTGTTCTCATCGAGGATCTTGATTGGCATATGCCTAAGCCGGGAGGCTCCAACCACAATGAGCACGGCCGAAAAATTCTCAACCAATTCATACGGCAGATGCAAAGAGTGCAGCAAGAACAAGTTAACGTGTTAGCTATGGCGACGACATCAAGGATGACCGATGTCGACCCCGTTGCGCTCGAAGTCGGCCTATTCGAAAGGACAATTCAAATGAGGGTACCAGACCAAGATGCTCGACACGACATCCTCAAAGTGGTAACCCGAGAGAAGATACTATCTGACAGCCTAGACCTCGGAGAAGTAGCAAAGATGACGCATGGGTTCGTCGGCGCAGACATCATCATTGTCACAACATTGGCGGAGCAAGCGGCGCAGGAGCGAATTCTCAATACAGAGGACCCCGATGGGCGGCAGCTGGAGCTTCTTACTCGGCCTCCCCATAGAGATCAGATGGATGTGTCAGACATCTCATTAGATCTAAGACAACCCGCATTTACGACGATACCCACAGAACCGTTGACACTCGACGATTTCCGGCTTGCCATCAAGGGCTTCACACCCTCACTTCGGAGAGAAGGCTTTACTGTGATTCCGAGCGTAACTTGGGATCAAGTTGGCGCTTTGGAAAAGGTGCGCGAGCAGCTACACATGTCCATCATTGGACCCATCAAGAACCCAGAGCTCTACCAGGAGTTTGGTCTTAGACGTCCTGCCGGCGCTCTTCTTTGGGGACCTCCCGGGTGCGGCAAAACTCTCGTCGCCCAAGCCGTTGCCAACGAGGCACAAGCTTCCTTCATCCTCATCAACGGCCCCGAGCTGCTCAACAAGTACGTCGGTGAGTCCGAGCGGGCTGTGCGTGAACTTTTCCAGCGAGCCCGTTCCTCCACGCCTTGCATCCTCTTCTTCGACGAAATCGACTCGCTCGTGCCTCGACGAGACAACGCCTCTACGGATGCCGGCGTTCGAGTCGTCAACGCCCTTCTCACGGAGCTCGACGGCGCCCAGGATCGCTCAGGCATCTACGTCATGGGCACAACCAACAGACCAGACATGATCGACGCAGCGATGCTCCGCCCGGGTCGTCTCAGCGTGCGACTCTTCGTCGACCTCCCAACCCCCGAGGAGCGCGTCGACATTCTCCGCGCCATCTACAAGACGGCCCACGCCAATGCCTCCGAGGCCGAGCTCGCAAGACTGCCGGCCGTCGCCCTGGACCCTCGGTGCAAGGACTTTAGCGGCGCGGATCTCGGCGGCCTGCACATCAAGGCGGCCGAGGCCGCGCTGAGGAAGTTTATGCTGGGCAAGAAGTCGGCCCGGGAGATTGACCAGGACGACTGGGAGTATGCGCTGGAGAATACGCGGTGTAGCGTGCTGAACCCAGACTCGTACAGGAAGCTGGATAGGAAGCTGGGAAAGGGGGAGTAGTGAGGTTAAGTAAGGGGGGCCGACATGTTGGATAGCAATGTAGATATACCAGGCGCATATATATAGATGTCGTATTGAGTTACGCAGAGTGTACTTTATACTGCGCATTACTTTTTTTCCCCTTATCGCATCGTCCGATCAATGCAATGATACCCTACCGGCATTACAATCGGAGGGTAGCAAATGTAACACTTGGCAGAAGGCTACTCGGGATCGTGTCAGCCAATACCGAATCCCGGTAGCCCTGTCTTATCAAAAAATGCTCACCCGAATTCCCCACTACACAAGCTGAAGAGAAAATTCATCATCCCATACTCTCTCACACAGTCATATCGCCATAACGAGCAAACAAGGATCAGCAGCGTCCGGTCGCTAAAAAAGCGGAGTTGGATATTAATGGTACAAGCACAGTGATGGTGCTTCGACTATTCTAACTTTGTCTATAGTAGTACAATCGCCGCACCCCGTCTATTGATATCTCTGTCATTACAATTCTTTTTTCTTCATTCATCGCTTAAGCGGTAGACTCCTTGAGGTAGCTGGACAAGGTATTAGCACACTAGTTCAACATGGTGGAAACAAAAAAAAGGGTGATGGTAGTGTAAAACGTACGCAATGAGGTCGTTGCGATCCTTCTCCTTCTTCAGGCCACCAAAGGCCATCTTGGTGCCAGGGATGTACTTCTTGGGGTTCTCAAGGTAGGCGAAGAGGGTCTTGTCCTCCCAGGTGACACCAGCCTGCTTGTTGGCGTCGGTGTAGGCGTAGCCCTCGGCGGAACCGGTCTTGCGGCCGAAGAGGCCGTGCAGAGCAGGTCCGATCTTGTGGCCGCCGTTGGCCTCGACGGTGTGGCACTGGGCACAACGGGTCTTGAAGAGGTTGGCACCCTTCTTAACGTCACCTGAAGAAATGTCTTAGCAACAGGGTTTCGCTGATCGAAAATATGCCGGTTGTCGAGGACGTGAAAAAGAGTCAATCGGGATGGCGCTGAGCCGACAACTAGGGACCGAGGTGTGTTTGGACTGGCATCATCATGTGGCGAGCAAGGCCGCAACCAACCGTCGTTGAAAATGACGCACTGCGCCAGGCAGCTTCACCACTCTCCCTGGTGACCTGAATACACAAAAAGCCGCTTTTGAGTGTATCCTTCACCAAAGAGTCCAAAACACCAACCGTCCAAGTCGTCGACCGTTGTGGCCCGCCTCAATGGCTCTCCCCACGTCTTGTTCGGAAACGTCTCGGCAACCGGATTTTGTGAGCGGGCAGCAAAACTTACCACCAGCCATTTTGAAGTATGGGTTATTAAAGAGTTGTTAGGAAGAAAGAATAATGTGATGAAAGTCCAAAGAGAAACCTAAGCCGGTTAACTGCTTTGGAAAACAAAAATTTCTCAAGATGGAAAATAGGAATAGGAGAGAAGTATAGGAGAGAAAAGAGAGAACAGGAAGAAACAAAGAAATTTCAAGGAAAAAAGTTTATGACACCATGCTGCTGCTGAACCGGCGGTGATCAGCCACAAGTGTGGCTAGTGCGCAGCCAATCACAGCGCCGCAATTACACAGTCACGCTCACTTGTCGGGCGATTTCCCCGGGTAAAGTCGGGCGGCCAAAGCGGCGTGGAGGGAAGGCGCCACAATGAGGTGGGTTTCCTTGTTTTCCCTTTGTCCTGCCTGACATCCTTTTTTTTTTTTTCCTCGGCTCCACCGGATTTTCCTTCTTTCCGCGCTCTTATGTCATTCAAGTCATTCTCGGTCGGAGAAACATCGGCAAAAGGGAGGCTCTCTTAGTACTACCACCAACCTTTCCTGGGGGTCCCCATTTTTTTCAACATCCGCTAGTTTTTTTTGGTGGGATGAGCAAGAGCTTCATAGCAAGGCCAAGGTGAAAAAAAGAGAAGACGCAGGTTTTGCCGGAGGTTGTTCATCTTTTATTTTTCTTGTTTCTTGAACCAAGACCATCAATACAACAGAATTTTTCATCTCCTGCATCGTCAGCCACTCGCAATGGTGACGAGGGCAGTCATCCCGCGCTTCCTGCTGCCGCTGCAGGGGCCGCTCTGGCGAGGCATCCAGATTCCCCTCTCGCAGAACATCCACGTCCGCTTCATCTCGACCGAGAAGCCCATCGTCCTGGAGAAGCCGGCTAGGTTCAACCCTCCCTCGCACGGATCGAGGCTCAAGCGGAATTCCATCCCTAAGCACTACGGTCCTGCCCTTACCGAGGATGAGATTGCTGCCCAAAACAAGAGGAACTACCCGGGCATGATGGCACCTGAGGGGACATGGAGCCACTGGTTCTGGCACAGCAGGCTGCTGCATACCTTCATCACCATGGTACGGGCTGGAAATGGAAATGGTTTTTGCTGCTGGTGATGTGTGCATGTTGGGCTGACATTGTTTAACTGCTTAGGGCGCGCTTCTGGCCATGGGCGTGTACACCTTCTTCATGAACTACGCCTACAACTCTCCATTCAAGGACCTCGTGCCCCCGATATCTGACCTGTGGCACCAGCCCACCTACTTCTTCTCCCAGTGGAAAAACGTCATCCTCATGCACGAGAAGGACAAGGCCCTCAAGGCAACCGAGCACCGGAACCGACACATTGACGACGTTGCCAAGCGGAGGTACTTTATGAAGATGCACGGCATTGAGGCCAAGGATCCTGTGCAAATGGTTTTCGGAAAGGACGAGTCCAAGTCGGAGGAGGCCCTCGAGGCTGCTGCCATGGGACGCGAGCTGCCACCCCAGCCTGAGGCGGAGGCCCCGACTGAGCAGAAGAAGAAGTGGCTGGGCATCTTTTGAGACATTATGATACGATCATTATATGTGCATTGATTGGCAGGGCCAGATGATGCCCTTTCTAAAAGTAACACTAGGATGTTTTTCCAGCACATTAGGCATTAGGTATTCTCCCAAATGTCAATGAGACCAGACATGATGTAGATGTACCAGTATATAGCAAAAACAAACAAACAATAAATGCAGCCCAGAATTGACAACAATTTACGCCAGGTCTACTCCTTCCAATCCATCCAAGACTTCATCTGCAACGCCTCCCTTTTCCAGGACAGCCTGCATGATGCTATCCAAGACGGCAAACTTGGTTCCACCCAACGGTGCCTTCCAGACGCCTTCTTGGGGATACTCCTCAGCCTTCTGCTGCTGCTTTTGCTGCGGTATATCAAAGGCTCCGCTCGCCGCCAAATTCGCCGTGCTGGGCACCCCAGGCGGCGTCAGCCTCGAGGGGGGGTCAATCGTCCGCATCGACACCAGCCGCAGCTCGCGCCCGGAATCCACCTCCATGCTGCCCTGCTGGCGCCGCGTCCTGACCTCGCACAGCGACACGGCCAGCGCGGAGTCAGCCACCGCGAGTTCCTCCTTGGAAGGGTCGAACAGGATGCTGTCGCCCACGGCAACGACCAGCAGCGTGATGGACGGCCGTGAGCCCGTGGCGGCGCCCTCGCGGGGGTATAGGAACGGGGCGGCCTCCCAGTCGTCGTCGAACATGGGGTCTTCGTCGCCTTCTGATTTGAGACGCGGGAGTCTTGTGGCGAGGAGGGCGAGGTGTGTTGTGAGAGAGAGGAGTGGCAGGGGGTATGAAAGCGGCGGTGATATCAAAAGAATCTGCAGCCCAAGTTCACATATTAGCATTTCCCATATGATAAGACCCAATCCAGGACAATATCAAACACTCGTAGCAAAAGTAGAAGAAGAAGAAAAAGAAGAAGAAGAAGAAATCCCATCCACTCACGTCAAGATATAGCCTCCAGTGGAACCGTCTGTTAATCCACAACTTCTTCGCAAACTCCCCATCCGCAAGCAACGCCTCCCTCAGCAGCTCAGCCAAAAACACCGTCCCCGCGTCGTCATCTCTCAGGCCAGGAATCTCCACCGTCATCTCCAGCCACTCGCCTCGCGCCTCGCGCCTGTCCTCCTCTGCATCGCCGCCGCCCACGCCGCTCGCGCTCTTGACGTACTCCTGGTAGTGCTCTCCGCCCAGCGGGTCGACCGTCTTCTCAATCTCCGCCTTGACGCCTACGATGGCCTCTGTGCCGTCCGCCAGGCAGACGCGCGCGCTACCGTTTGTGCCAGGCAGGATACCGGTCTCTGCCGTCAAGGGTCGGAATTGTTTTGATGTTCTGCCGTCAGGACGGATGGGCGGGCTGAGGGAGAGGGAACTGTGGAGGTACGCAAGCTCGGCGGGGGACAAAAGCGTTTGTTGAGCCATTGTCACCGTGTTTCCATGTGCTTTTATAGCTGAGTCAGGGTATTACGGCGCAATTGTTCCAAGGCGGCGTGGAATGACGACTGTTGACGGCTGATGCTGAAAGGTTTTTGAACTTGACAAAAAGTTGTATCGGCTCACCTAGGTGAGCGATAAGATAAGATATGATGCGGGGGTGGGGCAGCTACTTGGAGCTCTCCCAAGCTCACCCAGCTTAACCTAGAGGGAAACGAATCTTATAGAGGGCAGACTTTATATAGACCACGGAAGTAGATGGGATACTTTCATCTTTGGAGTCCCGAAGCGCTGTAACATTTCAAAATTCAAGAGAAATGTCTATCTACCACAGTTCACAAGTCGAAAACCCACCAAGGCTTTCAGAAACACGATATCCAAGTTTAATCCTACATGTAGTAGCCAATTGAATAGCAAACCGGGCTCATAGTCCTGGCGGGTAAAAATAATCAAACATCAAAGGCTAGCCAGCTAAGCTTGCCGGCGCACTAGATCCAGGCATATGTCATCCATCAAATCAGGCCCCAATGCTGCAATCAGTTGTGCAATGCTGTGCCTGATGCCAGATGGCTCTCTGATATTGCTCTGCCTCCAGCCAACTAGGTCCGATGTCTCAAACAGCGGTCCTGTAGGAAAGATTCTGAGAATAATGTGGTCCAGATCCAAACTTTCCATGGAGGCAACGGATGGGATGCCTGGCATTTTAGATCGGAACAGCGAGTCATAAACCTCGTCGACCTCTTCGTCAGAGTTCGCATCCTCCGTGCTTTCTGGGCTCTCATCCAAAGACATTGACACCTCGGGAGCTTCGCCAGAGGAAGTATCTGTGGAAACTGTAGAATGTACCTTGGATGTATCAGAATTATCTTCTCCCAAGGCTGTGGAGAAACTGATATAGGTGTCCCTGCCAAGAATATCCAGAATGGTTTTATCAAGAAACCTCCAGTCCAGGGTATCCGGGTCAAGGATGTACTGAGGGCCGTAGTCAATCTTATATTTCATTTTGGGGCAACTGTGGATGTAGAATCCAGGGTACCACCATCGGTAACCCTCTTCAACGGCGAGAGCTATTTCATAAAGTGCACCCAGTTTTCCAGGGGCAAATGCATGAACACTTTCGTGGTAAAGGAAATAAACAGAGCTGACGCAGTGTGGCAACAGATCAAGTACACCAATAGCCACTAGGACACCGTCTAGGCGATAGCATTGATGGTAAGAACCTAGGCGGCGCTTTCGTCCATCAGATCCAACCATGACCTGACGCTGCACAGGTGAATTGCAGAGGAAGCGTTCAAAGGAGTGCCGAGTCCTTTCACCCGGCGCATCTCCGTGGACGACTCTCTGATAATTATCATAGACGAGGTACTTTTCTTCGGTAAAAGTGTCCTCTTCAAGGGTAACAACCCACTTATGAGCTGGCTCGGGTGGTGTCTTGACTCGACTCAGCTCAGCCTCATGAATGCGCTCTGTTAGGCAAAACTCATTATCACGCTTTTTGGTCTCTTCGCGTGATCTTGGATACAGGCGAGCAGCTTGCTTAGTGTAATTCTCACCAAGGACATATTTGTTGAAGCGATTAATGGTTTGGCGCTGGCTTCTAGTTGGATAAAATTGGTCCGAATCTAGACGGATGGTGTAATGAGGGCAGCAAGATGCTCGCTGATTGGGGCGGTATAGGAGCTTTCCTGATCGCCTCCAGCAACGATCGAGCAAGGTGAGATAAAATTGAGGGCTAAGAGTTGTAGCACTCGCATAATACGAAAAGCCTAAACGCTCGAGGAAAGTGGTCAGCATGAGATTAGAAAAACAAAATTCATCTTCCACTCTCCAAAGGCAGCACAACAACTACGGGAAGCCTAGCATAAATAGGGTTTGGCTTCTTCATCCCTCATAATATGCCTTGAAATACGTGAACAAGAAGGATGATGAAACTAACTCTGTCCTCGAGTGCCGCAGTAGCCGCATTTCGAGGAGTTTGAATATCCTGTGCAATTTATTAGCGTGAATCGAAAATATGAAATCACGTATGAAATTGAGAGCGCTCATATATATGAAAGCGTATTTGTATAAATGATCAAGCATTTAATATTCATGAATCATGACTAAACGACGGTAAAGTTGGGATACAAATGGATGATGGGGGATACTGTTTCTGGAAATTGAAATGGGGGTTACATGATGGCTACAAAACAGCTTGTTTCATTGGCAGCAACATCATGGTAGCGGCATACACGCATCAATGAACTGGCAGCCAACAGAGAGAACATTGGAAAGGAGCGTTGTAACGAACAATGTTGAGAGGTTGCAAGGTGGTGGCTGGGTATAGACAGCATGGGGGAGCCATTACGCAAATGGGAGTCAGAAACTCGAGATGGCAGCCACTAGGCCGCTCGAAAGCCGTTGGAGTCGCACGAATCCCACGCTTTCTTGACGTGGAAATGCGTGATAAGAGTGTGCCCGTGTTGTGTTGTGGTAGAAAAAAAGGCTGGACAGGGGTTCGCATTAAGGCAGAGACTTTGCCGAAAGGGATTGAAATGCCCCGAGCCAACGACAGGCATTGAATGCCGCACGTGTCAAGCAAGAGGGCAGAGGAGCAGAAACGAAGGGATTTTATTGACTCACCGATCGGGGATATAAGTTCGCTCATAGAGGCGTCTTCAGGGGTCTGCCCACCGTCTTGGTCCATGGCTGGTCTGGCACCTCGAGTTTTCCTGAACAGGCAAGTTGGTGCGTGAGACGTAAAGATGGAGCGAGAGCGAGCGTTTCCATACAGTATAGACGGAGATGGCCCAAAGTAAGGTAAGGTAAGGTGGACGGGTATAGGCTATAGCGCAAGAAGGAGTCGCAGCGGCAAAAAGTCCAAGCGGAACAAGTAGGACCTCCGCCCTGGGCTCTTCAGCTGGGTGAGAGACGACGGGATGGATTTAACTTGTGGGGTGGCATGTATGTGATCTAACTGCAGTCATGATGCCGATAGTAGCAGGCTTATGGCGGAGTCCGGCCTGGTGCTGAGGCGACAGCAGGGCCACGGGCGAGAATGCGGATGCTTGGTTGGACGGGCTCTGGGCAGGGCCGCTATCTTTGCTGCCGACAGCTGGAATTCATAATGGAGATGGAGAGAAGGAGAGATGATTCAAGCATCGCAAGCGCGCCTCGGCGGAGTAAAAAAGAGGTTCTCATGGGTTGATGAGGTCAAGCTCGAATCGCCATGGCGGGGCAAAGGGGGGAGGAAGTGAGGGGTTGAGTTGATTCTGTTAGTGGCTGCCAGGGTGACGGGATGCGTTGACAGCGCCAGATTCAGCGGTCCATCGACTCGCTAAGCTCACTAAGCACGAGGGCTACAGGTTCAATGGTTTTGGTTTCAGTGTACGGAGTAGGTAGGTAGGTTGCCCAACTGTGCGGACAGCATAGCTTGCTGCTACCTGCCAAGCACCAAAAGACCGGGCTCTCCTTATCAGCGTCCTGCAATGGGTTCAGTCACCTCGACATGTACGAACTTGCGAGTACCGCGAATGCGGAGCATATACGGAGTACTACCTGTTACTAAAGTATTCTTTCTTAGGCGGTGCTAGCTAGCAGCTTGGACCCTGGAAGATACAGGTAACATGTGGATGGATGGAGACAATGACAGCTCATCGGCCTGGTTTAGCACGCCGGAGGAGCAAACCATCTCTTGAGGTCTTTTACTGTCACGTTTCCGAAATGTTCCAGTTGCCGGATTATCCATAGAATTAGTACCTAGTGAAATGTGTCCAGGGTTCGGATTCTGCGGCCGATGCTAGGCGGTAAATCTCGCGTAGCTCTAGGTACGTGATGCTGTCCGAATACCGCATGTGCATATTGGGTTGGAAGCAGTTGTTGAGTCACCACTGCTTTTCAATTGGGCGATTCATTCTGTGCTGCTACCAAGCAACCTTGTTTAATCTTCTGATATGACGGCCAGCATCCTGTTATAGAAAGGATTCGCGCGCGCATTGATATCTTGTGCTACCAGGTAGTAGGTACTTGTAGTATATCCACCCTGAAGCCAGGAACTCTGCATTCACAACAACTTCCCGAAGGACAAGATCCCGAACAGAGCCCTCCCTTGCCCGAAGGACTAGGAAGCGTGGCGGCGCTCTAGCATCCCGTTGGACCTGGCGAGCCCGTTGGGATGCATCTTCTGGCTGCAAGGGGGAGTGAGGCAACGGCTTTTGCTCACCGTATTTCCCACCTCTATGCTGTTTGGACATGCCGATATGCACACAGCATGCACACAGCATGCCCACAGCTTTGCCGGGTAATATCAGCGAGCAGAAGCCTCATGCGACCATTTCTCGATGCGGGCTAATGAGGTAGGGCTATCGATGTTGAATGATTGGATACACGGGCGCCCTGACTAACCGATATTTGCTGCAAGTACCTAACGTGAACGTGCTGCTAATGCATTGGTAGGCCGCTGCTCATCTAGATGGTGTACTGAGAGTTGAGGACATTGCTCAATCCGTCTCAGCTCTAGTACAGGTCAGGTACCCAACCTTTCGGTTAGTGGAAGCTTATCCAGCAGCAAGAAGAGCATCACCTGAGCACAAAATCTCTCCAATCTCACCTCGACTACCGTACTCGTACATTGTCTCGGCGCTCATGCGTCTCAACTCAACCATGACTGCGGCCCATGTGTCACCTTGGCAGCTGAGTGGTGCCTCTACCTCTTCGCTGGCAGGGCTACTGGTATACTATTACCTGCAGCTTTCCAGACTACTGCTAGTACCTCGTAGTGCTCCGGCGAGTGCTCGTCGTTTGCACATGCGCTCGTACATTGTCGTATATGGAGCGCTGTTGACCATGCGCCATTGGACCAGGCATCGGGTGCACGTCGCCTGCATGGAGGGACAGGGGGCTTGGCGGTGCTATTTTATTTTTATTTTGGGGATATCCAGGCCCTGCCAACCTTTTTCCTCCTTGTTCCTCTCCAGGGCGAGCGGCATCATGGGATGAAACCCCCAAACTCCCACTGGACCTGGTCCCTATTTCGGCCTGGAGCCCGTGCCATGTCTCTCTCATCCCGCGCGTGCTGTTGCTGTTGCTGTAGGCGTACAGTACGAGGTACATACCTACTCGTACATCATTGATGACGGCACGCGTGCGAGAGTCCACGTATACTCGCACACGCCCGTACGAACGGGACCCGATAATGACACACGAAGGGCTGTCTGTCTGTCTGTCTGTCCGTCCGGCCGTCCGTCTGTCCGTTGCTCGTTGTGGTGTACAGTACAGCATAACAGAACAGACCAGAACAGACCAGAGCAGACCAGAGCAACGCACATCAATACCCACAATCTGCCTTGCTGCCTTCTCCTCCCTGCCGCATCACATCACATCACCACGCATCGCATCGCCTCGCCTCGCCTTCGCCTCCATCATAACGGCTTCGTTCCTCATCGTCAAAGTCCTCACCTGCCCTTGCTCACGTCGTCCCGGCGCCACCGGCCTGACGCACGACATGACTGGGCAGGCAGGCCTTGTCGAGCTCCATCCCGCTCATGACACTAACATAGATGGCACCTTAGTTTGACTATAAAGCTAACGCGGATCCTCCTCGGCCGGGACCCTCCCATCTATTGCCATGGCACGAGACACGCAACAGATAGCCTAGAAGCTGTGGTTTCTGGCTGTTCCGAGTCCTGTTGCCCCCATCGCTGCCGCTGGGAAGGCCTCTCCTTGTCCTTGTCCTTGTCCGTTGCTGTTATATACCAGACAAGCACCAGCACAGACACCCGGAGAGTTTCCCAACTCCTTTTTCCCGCTCTCCAGCTTGTCACTCATTCACTCCCTTTCTGCCCTGCTCCGGCGCCACTCTATCAAACACAGCAGACAGACCGCAATCCCGTGCCGCCTCTCGCCGTACCGCGCACCTAGACGCACGTGTGCCTCCCCGTCGCCTGAGCCTAGTTCATGCGGCCGTGTCCGGCTCGCTGCCCCTGATACCGCCGCAGATTGCGCTGACGGATATTGAACCCGGCCAGCACGGCTGAAGCTTGCGCGCGTGCGTTACCAAACAATTCAAGTACTTGTACGAGTACCTATACAAGTACAGTACAGTATTGGCATCCAGCTGCTGGAGCCTCAATTTGCTGGCGGCCCCCAAACCTGCCTGCCACCACCTTGATGCTTGTACTGTAGCAGTACTCGTATCCAGGCCACCACGCACCCACGAGCACGCGTACAGCACAGTGCCAGGGCCGTTAGAACAATTACAATTAAACCAGCACAGGCGACGTGCGCGACAAAGTTTGGCCCCATCTCCGCGTTTCGTTCGAGCCAACCCAACCTTGCAAGCCCTTGGTTCCACTGCAAGCACCAGGTACCAGCGCTCAGGCTTGCACAGTCCAAATCACACCGCACCAAGCCCGCGCTTACAGTACTCGTACCAGTAGTTCCGCCTTGGGACGAATAAACTAATTCCATATTCCAATATTGGCCAGCCATTGCCACTTGTTGTCCCATCTGAAAGTCCCTCCCCCAAGGCACTATCCAGGGCTGGCCGTTCCCCGAGTCGGCGCCGAGTTACTTATACATCGCTTTCGGACCCCGTCTAGAACGCCATCTTGCCGCAGAAAAAAAATACACCTAGACCTGCATTCGTTCCCTCCCCCCGGTCGTTGTCATTATCTCAACGGGGACGACACAACAAGGACCTTTTTACCTCTATTCTATTTTCCTGCTCTCATAAATTGACGATGATGCAGCACATGTCACTGTGATTTTTTCCCCCTGCCTCTCTGCCTTACGACGCTCTCGACCGCCGGCGAAGCCCCCCGTTTCCGGCCTCTCTCTCTCTCTCTCTCTCTTTTTTTTTTTTTTTTTCCTTTCCTCGGCCAATTCTGTTCCGTACTTGGAATCGAGTGGCCAATCATCATCATAAGATCCTCCTTAACCTCTACACACACCCACACAAAAGATACAGCACGTTGGCAACGACAGCGTCCGAAATGTCGGGCTCGGCTTCCAGTGGCGAGGGATCCAACAATCGGTCAATGCAGTCGCGGACCGGGCGGAGCAAACAACGTAAGTCCTCTCTCGAGTGAAGATTGCACCTTGTTTCACACAAAAACCATCCCGCACCCTCTACCCCATTTCTCTCCAAAACTCTTGCTTCCCTCCTCTGTTCCCCTCATTGTCCTGTGCGCCTCTTTGCCGTTCTTGCATTGTCAGCCGCCTCGTTTGTCTGCTTTTGCTTCGCTTCGCCGACGCCAAAGCCCGGGATCCCACTGACCCATCTCCCTCCTGCAGGGTACAACTCGCAAGGAGAACGACTTGTCGCCGGCATCGTGCCGCTCAGCGCAGACCGCAACCACGTCATCCTGATCCAGTCTACCCGGCGGAAGGGCTGGGTCTTGCCCAAAGGAGGATGGGAGTCGGATGAGTCATGTCAGGAGTCTGCGGTGCGGGAGGCGTGGGAGGAGGCGGGCATTACGGTCAACATTGACTATGACCTGGGCAACTTCGAGGAGAAGCGGCCGCCAAAGACATCCAAAGACCGCTCCCGCTACTATTTTTACCAGGGCACTGTTCTGGACCAGCTGGACGAGTGGCCGGAAAAGGACAAACGAGAGCGCGAGTGGTTCACCTACACCAAGGCAATTGAGGTTCTTGTCAACAGACCCGAGCTCCAAGAAGCCTTGAATCGCTCGTCAATGAACAGGACATGAGCAAGCTGCCTTTGGGTTTTGTGCTTTCAGCTGTTCTCCTTCTTTGCGAATCATCCCTACCCTTTTCGATTCTCCTTGTATACTTATTAATGATCCCCTCACAATCTCCGGGGGAAGTGCCATAGAATGGCAAGTGCTTTGAGGCCATGGAAGCAACTTGCACGCATCAGACAGCTCGGATGCAACCGTGAACGCCAGCAGACGGCCGAAGAGCAAGGCAATAGCAACAGCAAAGAGCAAGAGAGCGATGAAGATAGAAGAAGAAGTTTGCTTTTCTGGCTGGCGGATCACGGCGGCCTATTTGGCCGCCGCGGCTACTCTACAACATTTCCTTAACACACACAAGCCGCTAACCATCTAGGGGTGCGATGAGTTTTTTGAATTCGGCTCAGGCGTTGTCGGCAGGGTTTTTATCATAGAAGCTACCACGCAGAAAGAAAATTCTAAGACGGGGCGGGGCACATTCTGGTGTATTGCAAGACTCAATGCTCTTGAAATAGGATACACAAAATTAATTGTTTACACAAAGACGGCAGAGAGGTGGCGAGTCGCGCATTCTGGATGTCTGGATAGAGCATAGAAGAATTGATGCCATGGACATGACGAGGGAGCTGTCGTGTGCGCTGGAGCTAAGTACCTGCCTTAGCTCTGGCCCCAGACGCCCCTCATTTTGACAAGTACATGTACCTGATGACTCAATCGTCATCGTCACGCCGAGACGAGCGTAGCTTGGTTCGAGATCGCGTGCTGCTGCAAAACGAGCTGCCCATCTCGATGCTTTAGAAGCTTTAGCCAGCGACGGGTTTATGCAAGCGGCGTTGCAAGCATTTGACATTTTCAACACATGATTCGACGTAAGGCAAATGCCAACGAGGAGCTGAGTACAGTATATGAGCTGATACGGGTAGGTAACTCTTAGTAATATCCTTGACGGCACGCTGTACACGGGTTACAGGTATTAAGACTAAGACTTTTGAGGTACAGTGGCGGTAATACACCCAGACGAGGGCATCCGCTAGACGGTACATCTACCAATCCTCTGAGATGCATCAAGTTGGATTGTGTCACTCCGTAGGTGCCTTGCATGACCCTTGAGTCCAATCAATATACTTTACTGCATAGGTATCGCCCCGCCCTAGGATACAGTACGGGTGAACATCTCAAAAACTTTGGCCTCCATCCTCTGACGTATGCAGACAAGATCTGGAGGAACAGCACTGACACGTGATATGGACTTATCGATAAGACGGCAGCGTATCAACCACAGCGGGTAGGGCGATGGCCAACCAACCTCACCTGGACTATCAATGCGGTGCTCTCTACAGCCTTGTCGCTCCCCAAAATCTCCTGCGGCCATGTTGATATAGGCAAAAAGGACGCCGCGACACCACAGCCCATGGAACCTTGAGCCGGAACACGAAACCAGATTACACAAAGCCCATTTGTTCTCGCCGCTCCATGCAATCATGATGGAAAACCTAGCCATTTCTGACGCCCCTCCTCCTGGGGCTCCGGCCTCGCAACCCTTTGCCCAGCTGCCGCCGCAGATGTTTACGACTGCTGCACAGCTTTTGGACCTTACCGATAGTATGCCTCCCTCGAGATAACGCCGGCTTGGAAGGGTTGGGAAGACGTGAGGTTTAGCGGCGTTTTGTGCTAACGGGTGTAATGTAGAAAAACTCATGGTGGTTCTGCGTGACGGAAGAAAGCTGATTGGAGTATTACGAAGCTGGGACCAGTTCGGTGTGTAGTTCCTCCCAAAACTGAAGAGATACGGAAGGAGCAGAACGAAAAGAAGAAGAAAGTTGCGGTCATCTAATGCCTTTATAATGAAACAGCCAACATTGTTCTCCAATCGACGACGGAGAGAATATTCGCTCCCAGACCCGATAACCCTGGATCAGAGTATCCCTACGGCTACTTTGCTGATATCACGCACGGCATCTTCCTCGTGCGAGGCGAAAACGTCTTGCTCCTGGGGGAGATTGACCTGGACAAGGACGACGATGCGCCGCCGGGATATGAGCTCGCAGAGGTGGAGGTGGTGAAGAAGCTCGCCGAGGCGAAGAAGGCGGCGGATAAGGCCAAGGAAAAGGCGCGCTTGAAAAAGCTCGTCAGGATTGGTTTCGAGGGTGAGAACCTGGGAGACATTTTCTTTTAGGGTGGCATAGATATTTGCTTGCCATTTGTTTGTTGGAAAGAGAGAGAAAAGAGAGAAGAAGCGAGAAGAAGCGGGTGAGAAGCCGACAGCAGGGAATACTTTTTGTTTTCCACACTTTTCTTTTTTTATTTTGTTTGTATGCGCTGCGGCAGAGGGCGGTTCGGCGGCAGAATATTGTGAAATGCCCCCGAACCGAGAGTTGACTGGTGCAAGAGAGGTAGTTTTATGCTATACGCCTTGAATGACTAGAGCACGATACAGCTTGATTGGAAGTGTGTTTGCTTCATTGTATGGCGGGCTTATTTGATGTTGCTAGTTCATGGAGATGCTAATTACTAAAAGTAGTAGAGAGTCTTGCTAGGATGTACAGAGTTATACAAATGCCTTCTAAGCGGGCAGCTATCGTTACAACATATACCTTACCTCGGGATCAACCAGGTAGGTGGCGAGACCAAATAAAGATGATACCATCAACGCCGGGGAGCCAAAGCGTCCCTTCTTTCCCCCCTTTTCTGCTTCTCAAAACACACGCTCTCCCTCTCTTCGCTTTAAAAACTACAGCGTCGTTTCCTCTCAAACATCGGTATTGGGGCATCTCCTGGGGGTGACAAGCTTCCTAGGAGCCAATCAGTGAGTCCCACGAACTTGGCGCCCATGCCATTTTCCCAATCGCCACCCGCTTGAGCCTGCTCAATGGTATGCGTCAGGATCCTGCCCTCAGCATCAAAGTCGAAGATGAAGAGCCCCGTAAAGGCCTTATTAGGGTCAACGCCGCGGGCGAGGCGCAACGAAGGCAGCGAGATGCCGGAGCTCTTGCGCTGGTCGTCCTTGTCCTTGACCCTGCGCTTCTCGCACCAGCGAACGACGAGCTGCTCCTGGATGGCGCCGGCGCGGCGGGGCAGGAAAGTCAGGGGCTCTGAGGTCATGCGCTCGGCGAGGATCTCGAGCTTGACGTTGCCGATGATGGGGACGCGGTTCCAGGCGATGGGGGAGGTCCAGAGAGCGGCGTTGTAGGCGACTCGGCCTGAGACGACGGGGAGATGGGGATGCGTCGAGGGGAAGAGCTGGAGCGAGATGTTTGGGGCGAGGAGGTCTTGCGGGAGGGGAGATTGGAGAAGCGTTGGGAGGCGTTCTTGGAGGATTCGTAGAGCTGGAAGTGTGTAAGTAAGGTTTCATTTCTTTCAATGTCCCTTCTTTGGTGTCTCTTCTTTGGTGTCTCTTCTTTGGTGTCTCTTCTTTGGTGTCTCTTCTCTTTTGTTTCTTCTGTCTCTCCCGAAAAATATGAAATCATTGCAAGCTTCTACTTACTCTTGCCGAGCTTTGCTTTGTTTGGATCTGGTGGCTGGTCTCCACGGCCTCCCACCCACATAGCTCCAGATCTCTCAAAGCATGTCTTGGGCAAGCTCTCTCGCGGCGCAGACACTGGTTTCTTCAACAGTAAATCATCAGGCGGCGGCTGATCTGAAAGGGTCTCCGGTGACGGCCGCGCCGCAACCTGGGCCGGCCCATTGGCTGGGCCGAAGCTGGTGATGCGGCGGATTGAAGCGCCGGGCCAAGATCGGGATGATGAGCGGCCTGCTGGGCTCTTCAGAGTGTTGCGCAGGGGCGCGGCCATTGGTTGGGGTTGGCGCTCCTGGGGAGGAGCCGCATGGGATGGGGAGTGCGAGAGGGCGTGAGGAAATGTCCTTGCAGGTTTGCTGTGCTGGAATCAGAGGTTTACGATATGATGTAAAAGGTCAAACGGCATTGGACGGAGAGTGCCGGGAGACAAATCCGTCATTTTTTTTCGCCTTGCTTCCGTAGTGCCTCCTCTTACAAGGCTACAGTGGGCTGCTTTAGGGAGCACCATTGCGGGGCCGTTCCGCTATTCCGGGTCAAGGAGACTGGGAGAGGCTGGAATGGAACGCTTCCAGAGGAGCAAAAAGAAGCCTGGAAAAAGACCTGGATAGCTGCTACAGGCAGGTATGTAGGCATGCACATGGCACGGGTAGATTCGGGATTGGTCGACTGATTTGTTAACACATTGCTGGAATCGGAATCAAGACACATTGCGATGGCATTTTCGCAGCGCATGTTTCGTCGAGATGCCAGTCGCTGATTGGGAAAGCGGCGAGAGGGCTGGTGGCATGGCCGAATCTCAGGTGATCAAGGACCGCAGAGAGAAGCTCGAATCACATGCGCGCCTGGTCTAACGTGCACTGCATTTTGTGCCGCAGTAATACGGAGTAGCCTGGAATTGGCAGATGCGCACTCGTCGTACCGGGACTTACACGGGACGGAGCGACAGAGGAGGGGGGATGCAGGGAGAAGAGGGGGGGAATAATAAAAACGAAAAACAAAAGAAGAGGATGGGTCTGTTGAGGAGAGCCTCATTATGGGCCATCGGACAAAGCTTAGTAGTGCTGTCCCGGTGATGCGCAAAGGAATTTTGCTCTCATCATTGCGAATGGAGGCTCTTTGTGTCGTGATGGGGACTGGTGGCGGGTACCCCAGATAAGATAAGGCGCCGCGGGACTGCAACCCCCTGCCTTAGCAGTACCTCGTAGTACTTTGGTAGTAGTACCATAGTACCAAAGTAGCACCTGTTGAGGACTGCGGAGCACAAAGAAACAAAGCCGGTTTTGATTTCCCCTTCAACTTCAAAGCCCCATTGGCGCAGGTACTCAACCTGTACCCGTTGCTGCGTGCTCTGCAGCATCAATGGACTGCGGCTTTCTGCGCACTCCGAGGTACAGCCTCCGTACCCAAGACCTAAGGCCTAAGACCCAAGGTACCCCGTGCCCGAGGCGACTAACGCAGCTCGGCGCCTGCCATCACCAATCCACGGCTAATAATAGGCAAATGAGCCACTGTCACAAGTTCACAGGTCCTTGGTCCTCGCACGTGACTGGCGCTCCCACCGCCCATCCCATCCTCCCAGCCCAAAGCCCAGCCAACGAGGTCATCTTTCCCTGACGTACTCGAGACTTGGCCAGCCGACGCTCCTTTGACCTCGAGCCAACCATCCGCTTCGATCGCCACTTTGACCAACTTGCACCTCTTCAAGCCTCTGCTTCTGTTTCCCTTGTTCCAACAACCGCCCAAAACACCGCCATCATGAACCCCGAGTGGTACGCGGCCCCCGTCGCTTCATTGCGATAGCATCTCCTGAAACTGCTGCTCTTATCTGGTGCTAACCGACTCCGCAGAGTAGAGCCCACTGCAGTCCACTGCAAAAGCAATTTCCGTCCGTCGGCGGCTTCGCCTCCATCGCCTCCATCGATGCTTGGTCTTGCTGAGTTGATGGATGGCTTTGATTGACGACGACGGCGCCTGTTGCAAGAGGAGAAACCATGAGCTGACACGCCGCTTTCCCCCCCATTCTAGATACGACTACCTCTTCAAGCTCCTCCTCATCGGTGATTCCGGTGTTGGAAAGTCTTGCTTGCTGCTGCGATTCGCCGATGACACCTACACCGAGTCTTACATCTCCACCATCGGTGTTGATTTCGTACGTTGACTTCGTCTCCTGTGAGACGGCCAGTTACTAAACCCCCCTCGCAGAAGATCCGAACGATAGAACTCGATGGCAAGACCGTGAAGTTGCAGATCGTAAGTGGTGCAAATCTAACCCTCGTATCAAGACGATGCGATGCAACTGGCTGAGACTCATTTTGTCTTTTTACAGTGGGATACCGCCGGCCAGGAGCGTTTCCGAACCATCACCTCGTCTTACTACCGCGGTGCTCACGGCATCTGCGTCGTCTACGATGTCACTGATATGGACTCCTTCAACAACGTCAAGCAGTGGCTCCAGGAGATTGACCGGTATGCCACCGAAGGCGTCAACAAGCTGCTCGTAGGCAACAAGAGCGATATGTCCGATAAGAAGGTTGTCGAGTACACCGTTGCCAAGGTGAGTTAGCGCCTCAACTGCAGCCTGGTGCCGCCAGCCCGTCATCTGCACCAGAAGGCGGCTGCTGGCTCCAGGCTGCCATCTCTCAACCCCCCGGTTCCCCTGTAGAGCTGAAGCTGACGACCCCTCTCTAGGAATTCGCTGACAGCCTGGGCATCCCATTCCTCGAGACTTCCGCCAAGAACGCCAGCAACGTTGAGCAGGCTTTCCTGACCATGGCTCGCCAGATCAAGGAGCGCATGGGCACCACGACTGCCAACAACACGAAACCCAGCGTGCACGTTGGCCAGGGCCAGGGTGTCGGCAACTCTTCCAGCAGCAGCTGCTGCTAAATGTATTCCCCTTTGATGGTTTCGTGTGGTTCGCTTTGTCGTGGCCGAGTCTGGTGACAGGATGATTAGAGCAGTGTGACGTCCTCTGGGAAACGACTGAACAATGTTTGTTATGACCTTTTTCTCCATTATTCTAGGGTTTCAGTTTGCCCCATTTCTGCGCATAGATTACATCATGTCTAGTTGGATCTCGCCCCTTCAGACACACGCACGCACAACGTGGCAATCTCGCTTGCTTTTTAGGACACATTAGGGTCGGACGGGAAAGGGAGAAGACGGTCATACGGGAGGAAGGACGTGATACACTTTGGGAACAAGGCGCAAAATTCAAGAGAGATGAGGACCTTACGGTTGCGCTAGCTGTACTTTCACGCCTTCCTTTTTTCCCATAATGACTCCCTCCCACAAAGATATCTATGTGGGAGAATAATGGACGCTTATGGAAACTATGGCCTTTGCAGCAAGCTTTGGTTTTTTTTTTTTATTATGTTGGTATTATTTGTTCACTATCTTCGTCGCTTTCAGCTTTTCGTGGTGCTTCATCCCGGAAGGCTTTCCGGTACCTTTTTTCGTCTTCGCAACCCTTCTTTTTACGGGAATGGGGGGTACCATTAATACACAGGGGAATTGCGCATCTTAGGGTACCATGACTGTGTGTTTGAGGATGTCTCTTTTCGTTATCCGTAATTACTAGGTATCGAACCGTCTTCTAGTCCATTTCCATTTCCGCCTCCATCTCCGTCTCCGTCTCCGTCTCTGTGGTATATGTGAATGCTTTATGCAGTTCCATCTAGGAATTATCAAGGCAAGGATTAAAGCTGAAGTGGATTACTCATAATTTACGATGAAGAAGATGTGCAAAATGGCAAGGAACCGTATGCCTTGTATATCTCAAAGAGGTGCAAGGTTGCGAGATGACCGTGTACAATTGCCGTGACAAGGATCTTGGGGGGAAGCGAGTTATTAATAGGGGGTTCGTGCCAGAAGAATAAACGAAAATACGGAGGACAGGGGGGAGGATAGTATAGTTTATTTGCAGTGTTTGTCTCGTAAGGGGTGTGTCTCTCTTTCTTTTTTGTTCACTTGGATTGACGGCTGTGGGCTTTGGAGGAGAGTTTCGCTTGGTGATTGTATACATGTCTGGCTTGGCTTGTAGGGCATCTATGATGAAAAACGTATTGTATTCCGCATCATCTTGGGGATATTTGGGACGAATTTGATGCTGATGGGTATGTCTTTCGGGGGCACTGGAGTATCCAGGCCTTTGATGGGTAAGTATGCTTATATGCCCAAAAATACTCCGTACGGACTGTCCGATATGTGATGTGATATCCGACAGAGCAAGTATTCGCAATCTTGCGGGGCATTTGCAAGGGTAACAATTCTTTCCATCTCATCGACATACCTAATAATAGAGATTGCACAGCGCCATAAAACTATAGATACTTTGATAGAAAGAGTGCTGGTTACTGAACGTCATGCACAAGAACAACGAGCGAGTATAATTATCAAAACTTGATCAATAGCGTCTTTAAATTATCCGACAGGCCCACCAACATTTCAATAGATGAAAAAGCTAGAAAAAGCTGCAACTGTATCTCGAATCGTCCCCATTATCCACCACCAACTACCTTGCAGTACACTTGTCTATCTCCGTATTTTGTATGTTGCACTCCAGCGCAACCCAGATGACTCCGGCTTTCTATCTAAAACAGTAACATCTTGAATAAATGAGTAGCTGAAACAGAACGGCAAATTGAAATGGAAAAAGAAAACAGAAATTTTAAAAAATGATAAAAGGTAACCATGGGAAAAAAGCAGTGGCGTGTAGATACGTTCATAATTCGTTGAAACAAGAAGAGCGCCTGGCGCTCAGCCTGGCACACCTCTCATGGGCAATAAAAAACTTTGCGGCATAAAAATCAAAGACAAAGAGAAGCGCAACACTCAGATTGCGGGTTATTATGCCAAGCCCAGGAATTTGAGAGCTTTCCGGGTATTACCCTTAGGCTCAACGGTTTTCATAAACATGGGCATGAGCCTCCGCTCTTCTAGATCCAATTCACTGTCATCACTGCCGTGGTCAAAAGTAGTCATGGATGCTGAGTCGCTACGGAAGAGTCGCCGCCGGGAGAAGGCTCGACTATAGATGGTCCCTGACTTGGGTGTCTTGATATTGTCCGTAAACGACTGACGCCGAGAGGACAGCGTGAGCGATTCGGGGCTGGAAGAGACATCAGCTGAGGTAGGCGACGGCCCACTGCGAGTCGACACTGATGATCGAGGGAATTTGGTGAATAGGACATCGAGCGGTGCTGGTTTTGGCTTTTTGGTAGGTAAACTCTTCCTATGGGGTGAAGACTCAGAATCGCAAGCTTCGACCTGGATATTCCAGACGGCAGAAACAAACTTCGCTATGTCTTTGGCGGTAGCCGTAGACGTGAGCAGAAAGTTTGCATTGGAGACTGTGACATCCGAGCTTGACGACTGCGGTGACAAATTGGGTGTTTTGGTATTGGTTTTGGCCCCGACGCTAGGCCCCCCGATTTGTGTAAAAGGTAAACGGTCCTTGTTGCTAGGGTCAACAATTTGAGCCACCTTGATAAGGTCTACGCCTATCAACTTCTGCAAGGCCAGTACGGTGGCCAGGTGCTCAGGAGGGTACTCGAGCAGAAGATAGCGAATTCCCGAGTGGAGTGCCAAGTATGTTTCAAGATGGGGGATAAGCAGCGTCGCCAGAAGATACGAATTGGTGAAAGGGTTATCAGATGTCTGGTTTGTCAGGGGCAGAGCGGTAAATGCTTGCATGGCATTCGCAAGTAGGTATCTACGGACCAATTAGCATCTTGTTTCACAAGTTACATCAGATGTATAATATCGTGCACAAGCAACCTACCGGAAATCTACTCGCCCGCTGCGACCCTGGCGATCGCTTGATTTCGTTCCAATCGTCTCCAGTTGCTTAATGATTCCTGACGAGTACACTTTATCCACGCCTTCTTGGGATCCTATCGCCAGAATGTGATTGACTCTTCGGTTTGTTTCTCTTTTGGAGCCCCTGGGCTCAGTTTCTCGGAAGACAGGCTTCCATAAACCGTCAAATTCGGGAAGGAGAGAAAATTGGAATTGGCGGTAGCCCTCTGCTTCTGGAGGAAAGTATATGCTTAGGACTGACCGAAGTGAGTTTTGGATAGCGACGGCAGTTTGCCCAGAAACAAGTTCAAAGTCGTGAAATTTATCCCGATTACCCGTGTAAGGAGGCGGGGTCTGTGCGGGTGTTGGTGGTCGAATAACGTTGACAGATGGGATGGTTCTTTCTCCCACAGGCGGCTGTCGAGGCCGAGTGTGAGCAAAGTAGTCATAATCGTTATTTTCCCTACTCATCGCAGCATCTTCATGAGATCTTTCATGAGATCTTTGATCAAGCGCAGTTGGCTGGCGAAGAGGAGTCGTTGCTGTAGAAGTATGTCCGGAGTACACAGACACCGAAGCAGGAGAGGAGAGTATGGGATAGTTGCTGGCCTTGAATGATAGGATAACTGAAGTGAGCAGTACATCTGGTGTCTCGTCTTTGAAATAGATCACCAAGTTTTCTACCCAAGGTAGTACTGGCTGGAACGGAACCTCTACTGCGGTGGCAATGTCGGTCCCTAGGTGGAACGAACCGAAAGGATTTTGGCCTTGTTTCGATTTTTTATCGAGAGAAACTTGGTCGGCCTTGAGTGTCGGCTGATGACCTTTGGATAGAATGGTCCGTCGATCGATATAACTCAGCCTCCGAATAGCTGGAGATCTCTCTTCGCCAGCAACCATGAAAGAGTGCGAACGGGGGAAAACACCAGACTCTGCTCCCATCTCTGTCGAAGCTCCTGAAATGCAGAGATCTCTCAACTTGGCAGTAATCGGGTAGATTCTATCTAGCGATCTGATTCTTTGCAGTGCTCCCTTGGAGCTCGAAACTGATGTGCGTATGTCGGGCGTGGTGGATTCTCCGCTGGAGATGGTATCGCTTGTGCGAGCAAAAGTCTGGGATGTTGGGGAGAGCATTTCAACTTCACGGTGTACTCCAAGGCTCGACTGCACTTGCGGTTTAACAGCGCGACTCGGCGATGCCGGTGGGAGATCTACAGAGTCTGGCGACAGTCGTTTTGACGGCTGGTTGTAGTCAACGACAGCAAATGTCGGTGCTCCTGGGGTTAGAGGGGTATCGTCTTCCACATCCATCTCGTCTTCAACGTGCGCGCCAAAGAGGAAAAAGGGAGCTGCATCGCCAAAGCCATCTAAGTAGCCATACAGCGGCAAGCTCAGACTTCGTGGCCGAGTTGTCATTGTCAGATCGAGCATGTCAGATGGCTGAAGATTGGCAGTTTCGCGGTCCAAGGCATCAGCAGCTCTCATGGCCCGCGTTATGGGATCATGGAGCTCTTCGTTGAAAATAGATTCGTTGCCATCAGAGCCCGCCTTACTGTGAATTCGGCCTTTAACCTCGAGACCAGCCAGGCCATCTTTTGCGAGCTGAGCGTAAATCGCCTCTGCCTCAATCCTGTCTCCACCTGTCTCGTGCTTCATGATCGCTTTGATACAAAGGGCATGGGCACTCGGTGATCCACCATTGAGGAATGCCAATCGCTTGTTCGATGTTGTCGCGCCGTGTAGAAAGGTACGTGCAGCTTCATGCCGGGTGATGAGGGCGTCATGGACCCTGCGAATGTAAGCCCGCGCCTCAAAGGCTTTGTCCGAATCATTATTGACAATGTAGCACTGGACCGCAGGAAGAATAAGGATTTGAGGTGAGGTTGGCAGCAATCGGAGCTGAGTTGACACAATATCAGGATGACCTTCGAAGGCGACAATGCTGCCATAAGCCTCCATCTTGGTGTCCGTCATGGTGAAGTGGTCTGGATGAAGGTAAAGACAGGTTGGACCAAGAAGAGAACGGCACCCAGAAATGTCAGCGGAGCCGAAGGATGCCGGCAAGAATTTCTCAGCTGATTGACTGCGCGCAGGGCCCCAGGGCCGCGGCGGAGGCAGTGATGGAGAACAGGGACGAGGTAGAATGGCGGTGGGAGAGTGAGCTGCTTCCGCTCGTCTTCTTGGTCGACTTTTTTTTGCGTGTGCCTTTACTCGTAGGTATTCGAAGAAACCATGACCGCAATGCCGCAGCCGAGATTTCTGATCCGCCGGGACAGTTGAAGCTGCGAAGACCCGAGAGCTTGTCTGGAGCTATAGCTGCGTATTTCTATCGGCAGCGCAAGTTCTAGAATATGACAAGTGATAGTTGGAAGTTGGAGACGTCAGCAGGGGTAGGAAAGAAAGGGTTGACTTGCAGGGCCTGGATGACCAGCAGCAAGGAAGTGGGCAAAAACTACCGAGTACGATGGGGGAAGCCTCGGGGAAGAGAAGGGTGGATGGAGGTAGGAGAAAGAGAAGAGAAGAAACTAGACGAGACGAGACGAGAATAGAATAGAGGAGGAGAGAGGAGAGGACAGGAGAGGACAGGAGGAGAGAAGACAGGAGGGTGTAAGGAGGAGCAGAGTAAAAGTACTCGTCAGCAGTGTAGATGAGAAGAACGCAGCGATCGTGGAGGAAGTCTGAAGGAGGCAATGAACTGGCACACAAAAATTGTCCAGGTCGAATCAGAGGAGAGAGAGCTTCATCCAGAGCTCTGGGCGGCTGCCAGCAGGTGGGAGGTACCTACCTATACCTATGCCTGTACCTGTACCCGCACCAATACCCGCACCTGTTCTCGTACTACCGAGTACAACCTGAAGTACGGAGTACATATGACAAGATATGGAGCTCTGCTTGAGTCCTGCCTGTCCTGTGCACTTGCCTGATGCCGTGCACCTGCCTCATGTTAGTGCTCTGTAACACGGTACTAACACCCCGTACCTGCGTCAGTACCGAGTACCTGCTCGCTTGCAGATGCCAGCAGAGGCAGGCAGTTCCCAGCTACAAGAAGAGCGGAAGTTGTGCGAGAGCAAGTGGTACAAGTACTTGCAAGCGCGTGCACTAGAGCACAAGCCGGGAGTTGATCACCGACTCGGCTCTGCGCCCCACCGAGAAACAGGGAAGAGCTGGCTATAGCTTCATTTTGCACTGTAATGGTTGGTAGTACTTGTGATTCATATTACAGCACTCCGTATGTGACATGCTGGGCAGACAATCACAAGACAAGAGCCGCGTCAGATGCGCCAGAAAATTATGCACCAGAATGGCCAACCCTTGGAGTTCGTCGGGAGTAGCTCTCGCGGAGCGGCGGGTGCGCGAGTGCACGGGTTGCTGGGCGAGCTCATACTCGTACGCCTCTTCGTCTGTGTGTTCTTCTTTTCTTTTTCTCTTCTTTTTTCTTTTTATTTTCTTCGTTCCTATTATGGAGTCGTTGATGAGCACAAGTGGTGCTCCGTAAACGCCCAATTTACCGAGACATTGACAGGAATTGCTTCTCCGTCTCTTCTCGACGTTGTGTTAGAATACTAATGGACACAACATAGGAATCATTCGACCAACTCTCTAGAGGGAAAGAGATGCGTGTGTGTGTTTGATGCCGCCAGGCTTCCTACACACATCACAATCCTCGGCCCTATTACGCCAAGCTGCCCAATCCGCCAGTCTTCCTCCTGTTCCTTCGCGACGAAAAGGAGTCATCGACATCGCCGTTTTGGGGATCTGACAACACTTCGCTTGATCTCGGTGGCAGAAACAAGGGGCTTGGGCTCTTTGGGCTTGGAGTGGGAAGACGCCAAAAGTGGCTGACAGGGGCATCTGACATGGGGGGACGGCAATGCGAGATGGGAATTGGACAATTGCACAGAGCCCCTGTGGCCAACCGACCAGGTTTCTGGGCGCCAACAACAGGCAAAAAGTCCCTATACAGGCTGTCACAGCCGCAGCACAAGCGTCTGGCCGATCTGTCCATCCATAACTTCGGCTTGCAAAGCGCGCTCGTCCGTCGCATGTTGGGCTTGACACTACTGCCAGTTTACCTCATCTCCGAGCCTCTCGCGGTGCCCCATGCCTTCATCGGAGCCTATCCCATTGAAGCGCTTGGCTTTCAGCCCACTCGCCCACACTCAGGCGAACCTGATGCCGGGGACCCCACACAGCCCAGCGGCACTCCAAGACATTCTCGCGGGCGGCCATTGGAGAAGGTTTAGTACCCGTACGCCATATCGACAAAACGTCAGTGGAGAAGCTAGCGTGCCACCAAAGACAGGTACGAGCCATGTCTTAGACATGATCGTCGAAGGACGACTTGCGATGATGCCGCGGAGCTGTGTTGCAGCCAGGCAGCGTCTACATGTGGCACGCATGTACGAGTGTGTGGAAACGTACGGGGCTTTGCCTCTTTTACATTCGGCATAAACAGAGAAAATATCGTGACACACGCTTGATGAGGTGTCGCGCAAAGCTACCACTAAGAAGCTGGCATTGGAAGCTGGGGAGCACAGCTGACCTCAGCCTGACATTCATGACGCACCACCTTTATCGCCGTCACACAACTCCACCTACTTCCATTGGCTACGCTTTGAAGACGCAGCCGCCAGCATCGGTATTACTACCAGCGCTTCGGGCATGTGTACTTGAAAGAACAACCACCCGGAGCCAAAAAGTACGGCGCCAATCACGAACTCGACATTTGGCCGCTAAATCTCCGGTGGTGTAGGCATGTGTGGTGGTGGTATTATCTCCTCTTCTGCGAATCAGCTGGATGTATCCGAACACACATGTTGCCCTCCATGTATATGTGAAGCAGTCAGGCTTACCCCGATCAAGTAGTGCAGCCGTTTGCTCCATACTCTTGATCCAACAACCAGAGTGTCAACACCGACCAAACAATGGTCAGTGCCGGTGAGTACGAATTACCGGACATTCCACTCAAGGCTCGGGCAACTCGAATCTTGCTCACAGTCTGGTGTTCACTTCTCGCACCATCCTTGTGTTGAATTCTAAATCTGCTGTCCCCGTAACGCCGGATCGCGGTCTAGCTTTCTTCGCAGCATCGTTGATTCTCCTGCCTTAGGAGGAGTTGGATATCACCCCCTGCCCCTGGCAGCAACTTGTTATTAATGCTCTGGGGACCTTTGGGACAGATCCGTAAGGGCTTGAAGTGGATAAAAGTCTGTTCGTACCTTCATCATGCACCTACGTGCCTTACATCTGGCTAGGAGGGTAATACGCCCCGTGACGAATCTCAAACTTCAGGTCAGCAATAGACAGGTCATATAAATCTCCGGATCAGCCTGCTAAATATTCACTCAGAGAACTATGCCGAACTCAGGCAATTCGCGTGCCTCCTTGAACATTGCAGAAGGATCATGTACTGCAGATGAATGACGGCCCTGATTCTCATACATGTGCTGCCTCCATTCCATCAATAAAGGCAAAATCTCCAAGTATGTCCCGATTAGGTGCCTCAAAACAACCACGGTTGCGTTACCTGAAGGGCTCAGCAATACTACCAGACTACAGAACGTGGCTTGTTTCAACTTGCGAGCATCTCGTTAACGCTGGACAACGTGACCCAAGGCGTCGATGAAACATATGTCGACAGAGCATCTAGTTCGGTATCAGCCATGAGTACATTACCTGAAACTTACATGCATGTACTCGGTGGTCCAATTCTAACGCACCGTTACGCTGCTGAGTGTTAGTCATGAGATCCAGCCAACTAAACGCACGTGTGGGGTACTTGAATAACATCTCATATCCTGTCTGTTGGGTACTGAATGGTATACGAGTACAGCATATCAAAAAGCCCAGGACAGCTTGTGGCTTCTACCCATGTAATGGAATCTTGCCACCGCCAAAGTTCGGTAGCTTGCCCTTGATGTACACGGCCACAAGCAGGCGTAAAACGTTATCTCAGACCCTCTCCTGTCACCAGTACTTTGTCTGCACAGACATGCTCTTCCCGTTGGATTCTCGCCGCAATATTCATCTCCGCAATTCCAACAAGCTGGGAGATTTGAAGAAGAAACCTTCCATGTGTGAAGAGTAATCACCGCATGCAGGTTTCAGGAGAAGGGATTTTGGTGGTTTGCGGTGGACACTTGCCAGCATGACGATCCCCTACAGAAGCCTCTCGAACCAAGAGCCACGGTATACTTGAGGGCATGCTTATATCATGTCAGTCGCAAGCTATATTCTGTATTTACCACCAGCAGTGAGTCTTTCGTGCTGATCTCGTGACGGTCAACTCAGATATGACGAAGCCCAGCTGGAGATTGTATGCCCCGGTATGCGAAGTATACGTCTAACTTTATCATGTGCCTCTCGTTATCAAGCTAGGAGAGCTTATGATAGCTGTTCTACCCATCAGCTTACTTGTTTCTTTACAGTTGACACATGCTAATTGTCCACGGCACTAGTAGTTGGTGCTTCTAGGCTCATTCATGAGGCACGAGGCACTGCGAGTGCATCCTTGTACTCATACACAAAGTCCCAAAATTGTCTCATAAGAGCATCCATGTCGCCACTAAAGAGTCCTTGCGTCCGGGTATCACCCGGCGTGAATTAGAAACCTTGGTTTCTTTTCTGCGTTTACGAACGAAAGGGGGTCCGTGCATTATACACAGCTTCCAGGAGATTTGCCTCGACAAGACCTGGTTGATCCCCTTCGCAATAACTCGCCTCGCACTTTTAGTACCATTCTCGCCTGAATAATCTCTGTATATATTTAAATCCTTTGGGGAATTGGCCAAGAAAAATTATGCGAGGCTTCTAGTTGTTTCAGAATGAACCGTTCTTCATTCGCCACCATGTCCACGCGGCGGCGATTATCACGAGGATTCCCCACTTCCTCGGGAGCCCTGAACATGATTTCGGCATCAACCCGTGGCTAACAGGTAATTTTCTTTGATTACCACTCTTGTAACTCTAAATTGAGAGTCCGCGGCCGCAGGTGAAGCTTCTTTCTCAGTCTGATCTGCAGCTAATCGACCAACGGCAGATGACCCGGGCCACCTTGGAGATGCCCAGGACCCCGGAGCTCCACAGTGCAGGGATCTCAAGACCGGACCGACGGCTAACAAGATTATCCATTCTGGTAAAATAAGCCAGAATAATGCTATGCGCCGGGACCTGAAGGCACCAACCCGAATAAGTAAACAGCTTCCAGAGCTGCCGTGAGTTGGGTGCGAGCATGTCACAACAACTTGTACATGCATGCGCTACAATAAGGCGAGATGTGTGATATAGCACTTTGAACTCTGTACGGCATATGAGCCGCTTGTTAGCAAACGGAGCTTGCAGGTGAGACCAATGCATCTTGCAGGTGTCTGTATATATCGAGCTTGAGCTACATCTCACCACTAGCCTCGAGATTGCTAGCTCTAATCATAGAATCACAGCGTCGTATACGAAATAGCGGCGGAGTGCTACCGGAGATTCGGAGCCAACTTCAGCTAGCTCAGTGCTTAGAATACGTAGCTGGCTCATCGATCACACCTCCTGAGCGTTGGGCAGCTTACCAGTAGCCGGAAGCAGTAGGTAGTACTCGATTCGTCCAGGATAGCTGGTTACAGTCATTCTCAGCTTTGATCTCTGTCAAGCTGCGATTACTGCCCGTTGTTCATTATGATCTCGTTATGGTCCCGACATGTCTCTCTTTCTACTTGATCTACCAGTACGTGTTGAACGACTCTGTGTCAAATGTGACACATGGCCTTTTCTTTCCCCCAAAATGTTACGTATGATCCCACGAGAAGTTGTGAGCTGGATCAAGCGGTTGGCTTTACGGCAAACGAACTACCGTGCACATGCCAGTTCGTTGCGTGTACAATGTGTTGTGCATCTACACTGCTAGCTTCGTAATTGTTGACAAACAAAAAATAAATGACTGCATTTCGGGGGCTAAATTTTTGCTCATATAACTAACATGATTTTGTAAAAAAAAGGGGGGGGAGAAGAAGTGAGCGTTCAGGTCCGACAAGATGGCAAAGTTTGCATGCAAGTAGGCAAGTCTGCGTTTGCTCGGTATCCCGCGCGTAGAGACGGAAGTGTCGGTGAAGATGATCTATCGTGGACGAGTTTCATGTCAGATGCAGTGTCATGTATGTCAGTAACCACAGATTTCTGTTTGCAACTAATTTATCGAAGGTAGAAAAGCAGGTAGCCGTCACGAGGGACCTCTGCGCCAACACGCTTTGGACCAACAGCGCCCGCCCATCAGCAATCCCCTGAACAAGATTATTTCAGTAAATGAGATGTAAAGAATAAACTCTTCCAGGTGCTTATTTTGTTGGCTGTCTAAACGGAGTGCCCGATCAGTCGTCCATCAGTTCAGCCAACTCCGCCTCCTCCTCTGCGGTCAACATGTTACCTCCCTCCGGCTCAGCTTCTTGCTCTACCGGCTTCTTAGATTCTTCAATCTTCTTAACCACCTCGTCCAACTCGCCCTTGTTCAGAGGCCATGTGCGGATGGTGCCGTCAATGCTGACACTGCAGACCTTTTCAGGCAATCCTCGCGAGTTTCGCAGCAAGATCAGATCAGTCACTTCCTCGTAGTGTCCTTCCAACGTGCAGTACAGCTTGCCCGAAGCCCTGTCCCAGACCTTGACATTCTCGTCCCGTCCCGCAGTGATGACCCAGTTCTCCGTAGGAATCACGGCACGGACATAGTCCCCGTGCGTAAAGACATCGTCAGCCGCAAAGTTGCGAGCCCGAGCGAGACATTTTGCGGTGCCGTCCGCGCTGGCCGTCCAGAGATCGCCTTCCTCGCTTTCGAGATCGTACACCAGCTTGTAGACGCTCGTGTCATGTTCCGCGATGGTGAGCTTCTCAGTGTCGGGCTGGTCATGGTATGCCTCGCTCAACTGCTCGAAGCCAGTGGCTGTAATTTTCCATCGGCGGATGTGAGGGTCACTGCTAGCACTCGCGATGACCACGGCATCAGGCGTGCTCAGGACAGGGTCAACGGCAATGTGCTGGACCGCAAGCATGGTTGTGGCCGGGTCTTGAAGCGTGTGCAGGCGCTTGCCGGACTCAATGTCCCAGACCAAGATCTTCTTGTCTGCACCGCCGGTGATGAGGATCTCCTTGCCGGATATCCTGGTGCAAATGACGGCCTTGATGAAGTCCGCATGGCCACTGAACTTGCGGCCGAGCTGGGCTGTTTCGACATCCCAAGACCAGATATCCTTGTCCCATGAGCCGG